ACTCCTAATATTCTGTGATTCTGTGAAAAGGTTTTCTAAGCAACTTGACCTTCACAATCATTTGTCCTGTATAATATGTGTCATCAAACACACTTCCTTTGAAAGTGCATGCACTTTTACTTTGTTGTGCTGCAGTGTAAATAAGGGAAAATACCTTCTTGTGTAATACCAATTCAATACGCATTCTTAGTAGGGACAGTCATAATAATCCTGTAAAATTGATGAGTCCATAGCATCAATTTAAGGGGAAACGAAGCAACACAATGATATAATCAGTATCGTTTTAAAGATAGTTGAACTATACCTACTTCTTTCAGTATTTCCAAACATATCATTAAAACCGTTCCTAAAATTAAATCTGGATCCCAGCATTTGATAGCTTATGGAGGGTATCCAGATTTAGCTGGAGACAGCTCCACTGGAATTACATTCTCCCTTCAACTTGGAAATAAGTGTATGTGTGGTGTGAATGCATGTGTTTTGTGGTTCTAATTGTGACGTGTGTGCATGTGCGTGTGTATAAATATATATATATATATACACAATGGCTGACTTCTCATCAGAAAATCTCTAGCGCCCTACTTGCTGGAATTTTGCCAGCGCTCGGATTTTGTAAGTTTTGCATTCCTGGGGAGGAATTGTTTATAAAAGAAAAGTTGACCTCTTTATGAAGTATTTGAACAGAACACTTTTCTTAAACTTAAAAGGTAATGATAACAGACAGGTTTTTTTTCTCCCTTTTGTGTTTTATATTTTGGAATGATCTGTTTTACTTAAGCTTTTTGTGATTTAGGAAATGTTGATCTTTGTCCTAATGGCTGAAACAGATGGTTTTGAAATGCTGGAATGTCCCAGGAGATGGCAGTGTACAATAACACATTTCAAAATATTTCTTGGAAACTAAAAGCATTTCACAATTAAAATTGAGTTGCTAGTTTGTAAAATGTTCATATTATTATTTCAGGACAGTTTATCGAAGAACAAAATGATCAGGTTTGTTTGTTTATGGAGAGCCTACTTTAGTATACAAGTTTGCATGTCTTATCTTTTACACAGTGAACCATCACTGCATGCTAACTGGACCACTAGATGATAAGATATAGTTTGCCTTGTTCAGCATCTTTATATGCAATTCAGTAATAAGTTGTAATCTGCAATATGTTGTAGTCTACATTTGTGGTTAGGATAGCTCATGGTTCAGTTTCTTTTATATTTTTACTGTAACACTAAAGACAGGTTTTCTGTATTGTCCTATATTGCAATTTAAACTTTGAGACTAACATAATTCAACACATAATTTAGTTTATTCTACTTAGGTATATATCATGCCTCAATTTTAATACTTGTGCTCTACTAAATAAATACATAGTTTATTTTTTTAATCAAGACAAACATATCTATTGAGACTAAGAAAACCTTGTATCGATTCCAGATTTTGATTTTTTTTCTGAGAATATAGTAAAACATTTTATTTTTTTTAGCATTTCTTTATGACTGTTGTCATAAAGATTGTTGTGAGAATTGTTAAGATGAAAATAAACTTACCTTAGCAAAATTTCATCACATACTCTTCAGGAGACAAATATTTAATTTTAAATAAAGGTATTTATTTACTTTAAGGGAATTGAAAGAGTTGAAAGTATCTTCCTATTTAGTTTCAATTTCGGGTCTTATATTGGAGCCAGCTTTTGCAGTGAAGTGCAGGGGACAATGTGTGAATTTCTTTGTCAAGTTTCCATATTATTACACAAGAGTGGTAAGAAGGATTTGCTTTCATTGTGGGAACAATCTGTGGCCAAGTCTGGAGGTTACTTCCACCCGGTTAAGCACCTCTCATGTCCTGGTGTGAGCTTTGAGCCCTTTTTTAAAGTCTGTCAAAGAACAGCATTTGTCACTGCAGTGGGACCTCAAGAAAACAAGGTTGTATGGCAACATCTGAACGAACCCAGTGACTTTGTGATAGTTGAGGAGCTACAAAAAGCAGAAATTGTCTCAAAATATCAAGTTCTATTTCTGGTTTCTTTTGCAGTAGCTGGTGTTCGTGAAGATGTCTTTTTGATCTGGAAAGAGTTGGAGGAAGCCAGGAGTACAGTGAGACAAGTTCAGAAAATTTTATCAGAATCTGACCAGCCTGCTTCTTGAGATGGTATCATTTATGTTTCTTTGAAGAGAGTTACCATAATATTCATGGTTAATTTCTTATTTGTGAACAGTTTTGATTACATGTCAACTTATTTTCTCAGAAATGTCTATATACAGATAACAGCTATACTTGGCACGTAAACTCAAAACTTTCCATTACAAATCCCTGCTTACTACTGCTTAAATTTGCTGAACTTTAACAGCTCAGGCTGTAACACACCATTTTTAGTTCACCAGTGACTAGTTTTAGAAATTGCCTAAATTTCAAGATACTGAAATTCATTCTTTCTGGTCCCTTCTTCTCTACGTGGGCCACTAAATCTTTAATTTTATTCTACACAGTGCTGAGGAATTACATAATCTCTCTTCCATCATGGTCTTGTTGGGATAGCCTCCAACCTGGTAGCTAGTTCATTCCATTGAAAGGGAAGAAATATGGGGTTGAATTCTCTTAGTCAAAGGTAGAGGACTGAAACTGTTTCTGGATGAGTGCTCTGATGACTCCTGTGTTAAGAAACAGAGAGAAACACCCACATTTGTTCATTAAACTAATAGTCTCTACCATTATGTTTGGCCTAGAACACAATTAATTTGTTGTTCTGTGCATATTGATTGGCTAAAGCTCTACTGGAGACAGAAGCATAGCTGGTTTCTGAATCTCTGGAATGTTAAACAGGGTATGGTGAGAAGCTACTCAGCCTTGCTAAGATGGAAATGCTTTGAAGATGTTCTGGAGCAGAATGATCACACTGACAAGACTTATATGCTGAAAACTTAGGAATCCGTAGAGTCTAGACAGCTTCAGTGCTGGACTGCAACTGAGGGTGGATTTTCAGAAACACAGCTGTGATTTTCAGTGCCTACATTCTATGATAGTCTCTGGTTTTAAAATACTTACATGGTGTCTGGTGGTATTTTTTGAACAAGTTGATCATAGAATCAGTATCATAGAATCACAGAATCATAGAATGTATTGGGTTGGAAGGGACCTTTAAAGACCATCCAGTCCAACCCCCCTGCAGTAAGCAGGAACAATGTTACCAGATCAGGTTGCTCAGAGCCCTGTCAAGCTTGACCTTCAATATGGGAGGGGGATGAGGCCTCCACCACCTCTCTGGGCAACCTGTTCCAGTGATCTACCACCCTCCTATTGAAGAACTTTTTCCTAATATCCAACCTCAATCTACCCTTTTCTAGTTTGAAATCATTACCCTTTGTCCTATTGCTACATGACCCACTGAACGGCTCTTCCCCATATTTCTTATAGGCACCTTTCACGTATTGGAAGGTCGCTGTAAGGTCCCCCTGGAGCCTTCTCTTCTCCAGGCTGAACAACCCCAACTCTCTCAGCCTGTCTTTGTAGGAGAGGTGCTCCAGGCCTTTGATCATCTTTGTGGCCCTCCCATGGACCCTCTCCAGCACTTCAATGTTCTTTTTGTGTTGAGGGACTCCAAAGCTGGATGCAGTACTTCAGGTGAGGTCTCACCAGAGCAGAGTTACAGATAAAAGATTCAGGTTGAGTTAGCACAAGTTGTCAGTGCTATTATGTAGCTCCAGTTTTTGCAGAGCAATTTCTTTTACTTTGGCTAGATAGAGGCTGGGGCCAGATGCCCTTTTCTGGACCCCTTGCTGAGGAACACTTCACACAGTCAGTTGGTCAGTCACTTGAACTCTTAGCGGTGTGTTGAGATGTGTGACTAGAGTGGTGATGGTGAAGATTTGAAGCTGGAGACTTTCTCTTCTTTCACTGGTTTTGAACATTTGTCAATAACATAACTCTGCAGGACTTAAGCTTGACTTTTTTCTTCTGTAAAGGCCTAATACAGTTCTTTATAATGATAATAGCATCTTCTGAAATAGCAGGACTTCCTATATGAAGTTAAACAGCTATACCATAATGCATATGAACAAAACAACCACAATAAAGCTGCAAGGACGGTCTTAATTTCAGTGCTTATTTATGTATGCCTGACTATGCAGCTTTAATGTTCTTTTAGTGTATGCCTTCATATATATAATCACTTCATAAATAAATCAAAAGAAATGAAATTACAGTGTGTTTTATTTTGTCAGATCTTCAGCATTATTGGACAAGTTATGGTTGGACTCGATGATCTTAAAGGTCTTTTCCAACCAAATGATTCTATGATTATTTGGCTCCTGTCCATGGGTCCACATAACTGCAGTCTTTCTGTTTGCCTGCATTTCTTCCTAATTTTACCTTCCTGATCTCTTTAAAATGCTCTGCTGCAAAATGTAGTTTGTTCTGAAGATTGCAATGTTCTGCAGGAAAAGAAACAGAAAAAGAGGCAATTTTTCTGCTGACTCTCCAGATAATGCAGTAGTTACCTGAACTGAGATGTGACTCTTTACCTAAAGCATGTGGAAGAAAGAAAACTGTAATTTTCTTTTGAAAGTTATGATAGTGTATTTGTGACATCTGCCACACTGGCTGTCCTGAGGACCACAGGCAATCAGAAAGCAAATGTTTCCACATGAAAAGGGTTTGACCCTGCACCTGCTCTGATGCTGGCTGACCCCTGTGTTTGTATATGTTTGTTTACAGGCTCAGGATCTCCATACTGTTGCCACTGTAGCTGCATCTAAACAGAGTAGACATCTGAACCACCTAGACCCACTGAAATGAAAGTGTGACAAAATAAAGTGACCCTGCTATAAGACCCACTACTGGGTCATTTGGTTTAGGTGTGGTTTATTGAGCTAGTGATGAGTGAGCATAGAGCCCTGTATCCTATTACCAGTACCCAGAGATGTGCAGTACCCAACCTTAAGATGGTCCTTAGAAAATTTCCAATATAATATCACATGAAAGGATAAATATGAGAACATTCATAACAGATCAGACAAAAAAATGCTATTTCTTTCAGTATCAATTAAAAATTCTAGAAGGAGAGTGTAGAACAAGAGAAAATGTTAAGATGGTACACAAGTGATTTGTGGCTTAGGATACATGGTGCAATATTCAGCCTATAAAAAGGCAATATTGCAGAGAAACACAGTAAAATATCTTCCAAAGACATTGTAATTTGCCTTTTACTTTAAATGTCCTTCTCTGAAAAAGACCAAAGGCAATCTTAGCTGATGTTCTCAACTGTATTTTCAATTATATCTTCTGTTGTTTCATTTTCTCAAATGATTCTCCTTGAAGTTAGGCATCTTATACAAGAATATTTTCTGGCATTTTGTAATTCAGCCTTTGGTATGGAGGTTAAGTCAACTCTCATACTCCTAAGAATATTCTCGTTGTATTTTGATCCTGTAGCTATTTATTTTCTTTACTCTCTGCCTTCTGATGGGTTTATTCCATTTACAAAGGAATTTGTTGTGAAGAAATGCCTGATAAGAAAAAAAATCATGCACAACCAAAGTAGAGAATATTAGAAATTAGTCAGAAATATCTGCTCACTCCAGTGCTGTCAGTGAAGCAGAACATGTTTGAAAATTTTAACCACAGCATCATAGTCTGTTTTTGAAAATACCTTGTCCAAAATGAACCATGTTATTCAGGAGGTTTTGTTTGTTTTGTTTTCCTTACTATCAACCAAAGCTGATAATCCATTACAGAAGCATTCATCTGACAAATACCTGACTTCTGAGAAGTGGTTGCAGAAGTACGGCTTGAAAGCTCAGAAGCTCACACTGTACGATGCACTTGCTGATTGCACTTTTCGCCATGTGGATGGGATTGTTGACATAAAAACGAAACCAGAGGATGAATCTTCACAAACTGATGCTGTTAGTATTGTTAATTTTCCCTCATGTCTTATGAGTTGTTTGGTTTACCTTTTAAGGCTGGGAAACTCAACTGATAGCTGAATTTATGAGGAAGTGGATGTTCCATTCTTTCATAGTTTTTTGTTAAAATCAGCTTATTAGTGAAATGAGACAAAGGTGGTCATAAATAAAATTATTTCAAAAGGCCATTTGAAAATGACTGTTTCAAGGACTCCCTCCTGATTTGCATATAATCTACAAAGAAGAATCAGGACTGGCTTAAGCAGTGCCTTGGTTTTCGATGTATTTCTGTGGGATAGGGCAAAAGTTGCTTGTTATCTTTATTTTTCCTCAGAGGAAGTATCAGTCTCTGTTGCTCCAGTGTTTCAGGTCCTTAAATGAATTTGGATTAATTTGTCTTCCATTTGTTTTTCTCAAGATCTACCATTACACTGTTTGGTAAGCTTCTGTTCTTGCTAGCTATGATATTAAGAACACTTTCTATTGACTTTTGCCAGGAGCAAATTCTGCAACCATTCTGCACCTGCTCATGTGCAACAAGCATGTACCTTTGAAGTTTGTTCGCCAAATATTAAAGGCACTGCAAAATAATGTGTTGTGGAACATGAAATGTGTTTTTCTTGGCTTTAGGAGTCAAGGAAGAAAGTAATTAATGCAAAATACTGTGACAAGTTTGTACATACCCTCTGGAAAGATGGATCTGTAGTTCATGTATATGTTAGCACAGAAAAGTATAAGCAGTATGAAGAGAAAATGAGGATGGCTCTCAGACAAGTGGAAGGAAGGTTAGTGTTCTGTCACATAAAATTAGTTTGTGCTATTTTACATTAGTGTTGAAATGTTTGACATTTACTGTCACAATAATCTGAAGTGGTTGGTAAACTGCCAATAGCAGCACTAAGCCAGAAATCCTTTTTAGATCAGAATCTTGTGTGTGGGATTTCTTAGTGGCCATGTAAGCAAACTGATGAACGGTTTTATCTTTTGTTCTCCTTCTGGTGCACAAATGTGAAAGTCAGCCTGCACATTACTGAAGTTCTGCTGAAAGTGACAGAAAGCATTGGGACATAAAGTGGCAGGGAACTTCTAGGCTCATCAATAAAACTTGGTCAACATTCATCCTGTGTACCTGGGATCCCTTGTGATACTTCTGACACTAGGAGCACTGCTTGGCTTGTGCCCATACTGATAATGGTTATCTGCCCTTTTTGCAGCCGTGTTGAAGACAAATTCGGACAGTTTAGATCACAGTCAGAGCATGAGCTATTGATTAATGCACATGATCAGAAGTTCAGTGCTCAAGAGATCTCCCTAGTTTACTTTTCTGTGGCTGAATAGATACATTGTTAGATTTTGTAGGACAGACTAAAAAAATTAAGCAATCTGAGGGTCTGATTCATCTGTCCTAAAGAAGTCGTAAAGTAAATTGACTCTGGTATCTAAGTTAGGAGGAGGAAACTTTCACAATGAATATTGTAGAGCTGAAAGAAAGAATAAACGTTGCCCTCTGTTTTATATATTAGGACAATGAGATGTCTCACTGGAAAAAGCAGGATGTGAATTTTATTTTTGTTGCTGCTTCTCTACCAAAAGTATAACAGCGTGAACATATTTAGTAAAGTCAAAGAGAGTTTTGTTATGCTTTTTAGTTCATCTTTATCTTTAGGATAACATTTGCATACTGTGAAAGGAAAATTTGAGGTAAAGGGTTTTGAGAGTGTATATTTTTGAAATCCTAGCTCAGATTATGGGTTTACTGTTTTGAATGGTTCATGTCATTGTTAAAAAGTCTTGGTAGACCTAATCAAACACTCTGGGGGAAATAACTAATGGCAAAATAGCTATCAGTAGCAAATGTAATAGGATCCTTTAAGTTTCCATGGTATCATTTTTTTAAACCCCGGTGGAGATAAGTTGTACTTTTCCCAGGGCCATTATATTCCGTCTGTTAAATATCTCTGTTTCAGAGTAGACAAGTGGTTTATGACTTTCAGGGGAAATCAGATTTGGACTTGCTGCAGCCATTACTGAGGAAATGTTCTTGTACATGGCAGTATGTATGCATATATTTAACTGGCAGGCATGTTTAAATATTGTTTGCAAGGTAAAACTACATCTGTATTTAAGGCTCAAGGTCAGCAAAGTATTGAAGCATCTGTGTTATGTGAAGACTTTTCAAAGTGTTCAAGTTCCTTGCAGAACAGGTTCTCAGGTGGTGTCCTATACAGGGAGACATATTAGCAAATGCTGAAATGATTTCCTGAGTTCAGGCTGGAGAACAGTTACAGGGGCAGTAGTAATAGTTATTTCCTCATGGGAATTCCCAGCTCAGACTACCTGATAATTGACTTTATAAAGGCGCTGTATTGCTTTGTCTGTTTTGTCTGTCTCCAGATTCCTACTGAAATTAGAAAATGAAAATGCCTTTTGTTGTTATTTAGTGACAGAGGACTGGTTCAACTGGTTCATTAAGGCCAATATACCACTTCTGACAGTGACTGGTAACAGTTGCTTAGGGGATGAGAGTAAGAAGTACAGCAGTGATAAAAACATCCTTCCTGATATATTCTTATATGCAAAGCTCCAAAGATCTTACAAAGCAGGTTTTGATTTTTTTCTTCCTCAGGATTAAGTGGCTTCAACAAGGAAGCAGAGGGCTTTTTGGGAATGTGTTTGAAGATGATGTCTATATTCTTATTGATACATCCCAGTCTATGAAGGAAAAGCTCCCACTGGTGAAAGAGAAAATATTTCAGCTCATACAGGTATGATAAAGTGATGATTCTGAAGACTAAGGAGCATTTTTCAGTAGACTGATCTTTTCTTGATGGTTGTTACTCTTTTTTTTTTTTAAATAGCTTTATAAAAATATTTTTTTTCCTTGGTGTGTGTGCTCATTTTTAAGCACTGCTCATACCCAGTTTCATCTCTCTTTTTCTTGCCCTCTTAGACATTTGCTGTTCAGGTAGTTTGAGAAATATGAGTAAAAGGAGACTTACATTGGGAAGTTCACATAATCCTAATAATTTCAGGCAACAGTAGTGTCTGTCTTTGTATGTCTTTCTGTATACCATAACTGAATATTATTATAATTTATTGTAACCATGTAATAAACTATATATTAATTAAAACAACTACTAGTCAGTATTTCAGGATACAAGTATTCTTTCTTTTAACAATGAGTAAAATTCAGATTCTGTCTCTTGCAGGAACAATTAAGACACAAAAAGAGAGTTAACTTTGTGAAATTCAGTGCCCAAGCAGTTGCGTGGCAAGAGAGACTTGCTGAAGTTAATGAGGAAAATTTGCAAGATGCTTGGCTTTGGATAAAAGGGCTTGAGGTAACATGACAACTAATCATCACAAAGCGTGTTTGTACAAAGTTATATTTGTGTCTTCTCATTCTGGATGGCTGGGGTATTTTTGGATTGACTAAGTATTTGACTTGAGTAAGCTGAAAATATAGATGAAGTATAGATTTTAGTAGATCTGAGTACAATGTATTATCTGTGTCAGGTACAATAATATTTTAATAGTGGACCTGTTTATAAGATCATATTAATTCAAGTTGCAACCTGCTATGTTTAGTAGCCACAATGCAAACATTGGCCAATCTGATTTCTGTAGGAACCATGACTGTCCTCAGAGCCTGTGTACAGATACATGTTATGTTGTTTTCTAATGTAAAAACCATGTTTATATACTAAAACTCCTCAGCATTATGACAGCTCTTCCTCAGACTTAATCATTAAATTCCTGGGGGAGTTTGGGAAGCTACACAATACCTCTGGGATGACAAAGCAAGATAAATAACTTGGTATTCTCATAAAATACTAACAGACAAACACATGGAGAAAAAGAAAATATTAATGTGAAAATGTTCACCAACTGAGTAATCGGTGAATACTTACAATTGAGGTTGATAAATTTAATATTACTGTTTTCCTTGAGGCTTGAAAAGTTGGCTCTGTTTAAGGTATATATTGGTACAGCATCATGTAAATTTGATAATAATTTGACCTACTATAATTTGATACCCTCTTGTAAATACTTTTGGGAATAGCCATTTTCATCATTATTCATGAAGCTGTGAATTGTTGATTCTCAATTTCCTTCTATGTTCAGATCTAGATCTTTGAAATGTTACAGGGAATTGTACAATAACAGTCTACTTTTTTTCGGGGATGACATCTGCTGCTGACCTTTTGAACTGTTTAAAGCAGTGCAGGCGTAAGTCTGAGATCAGAAAGCTGGCTTTACAGTGAAGCTGAAATGAACAGAAGATTGCTCTGGAATATTAATCAGAGTAGATCCTTTGATCTCATTTTATACACTTTGGTCCCAGGATGTTAAATAAGAGAGCTGAGCTATAAACAGCAACAGTTCCTTAAAAATCCTTTAGAGGTGATAACATTTAGAATTTTGGGGGTGATTATGCCACATGGTTGAAGCACGTCAACTTTGTTTAAACACTGATAATAACAGTGTTTATTTGTAACAGTAGCAACTGAGAAATCTAAAGATAACAGTTTTTACTGTAAGGTACATAGTTATTTCGCTGACATCATCAGCATCCTCAGTATGTTCCCATGAAACACTGGAAGAAGTTGTTTTGTTTCAAATCCACATACCATTATTGAAAATGGCCAATTTACACATAATAATGAGTGAGGTATGCCTAAAACTTCATAATGCTTATTAAAACATTAGGAATATTAGATATATTTAACACAAAGAAAATGTCTCAGGCTAGTTATTTCTTATGAGTGAGTACTGGTAAAGCATCTGAGCTATCTTGTTGCCTGGCCCATATATTCTTACACAGCCATACAGAGTCACTCTCAGTGTGCACCTCCTCTTCCATTTCACCTGATTTACTCACTCTGCCCTTTCTAATAGAACTATTTGATGGACTGGAAGAAATTTTAACACGATTAAAAAGACTGAAGAAATAACACTGTCTCTTAATGTAATTTTGCATGTGTGGGCCAAAGTTAGTGATTTATATTTATCTTCTCTAATGCATTATATATGTGGATCCTGAGCCTTTTCTTGCTTACACCACTGCAGTCCTCACTGCCTTCCTGAGCAGTACTCAGGCATTATACTAGTATAAACCAGACTCATATCTTTTCTGGGATTTTGCTTTAGCTCCATTAAAAGACTAAGACCAAGACTTGACAAAACACTTTTCCGTAATGATAAAACCTGACATTTCCCTAAAATTTGGAAGGTTTTGTACACTGAAATTTTGAAAGGTGGAAATCTCAAGATGTAAACTGTAGTTTTTAGGTTCCTATAAGCCATGAAATGCATTTCAGTGAGTTTAGATTTGCATTTAGTCTAAAACCAAAGAAGACAGATAATGATCACTAAGTGTGTGAATGACATAGAAGTGTTACTATTACTCAAATATGATTTTTTAAGGGGCACAGTTTTGTTTTACTGTGTAAACTTGTTGTTATAGCTAGCTTTTTTGCTAAAAAATAAGTCATATTTACATTGATGTTCTGAGGGGGTAGATGTGAGATAGTCTGGAAAAAAAATTGTTCAGAAAGCCAGGAAATTCTTTACCTATTTTGAGAAATAAATTTGTGCAACTCTTTAGTGGACTTCCTGAATTATTTGATTAAGTAAAATGTCTATTTCAAGAGAGCGTGATGAGTTGGCAATCAGCAGCAGCAGTGGGAAAATATAATAGAATGTATCTTTTATCTTACATCTTCCTATCTGCTTATAGTCTTGTAGTGATTGCCTTTGCTTCTACAGCTCATATTTATGTTGCCAACATTCTACTTATGCATAAGCACTGAATACCATTTTAGTACCAATTTATGCTACTTTGACAGCTGCTTTAAATTTTCTAGCTATTTGACATAAATATTTTCACTGTTTAATTACTGATTTTGGTTCTGTAATATCCCTTGAATCAGTACACTGTCATTATTAATTTAAGAACAGAGGCAAAGAATTGTTAGTATTTATAGCTGTTTCTCTGTCTTTTTGGTTTCTTAGGTTGGAAGCTCCACAAATACACTCAAAGCTCTCCAGATTGCTCTTGCCGATACTGGCACTCAGGCTATTTACCTCTTGACTGATGGGAGACCTGACCAGGTATTTCTGAAATGAGAAAACAGAAAATGTGGTAGTGTGGTGCTACAGTGATGGTGTCAGAAGGCAAATGTATGAGATGAATATGATACCTGCAGAGCTGAGCCTCTTGGAGGTTGCCATAATAGTGAAACATTGTATCTGAGCAATGTGCTGTTTGTGAAAGGGTTTTGATTAGAACTCTCCACCTACAGTTCAGTCTTTGGTGCATAACTCTTGAAATTTCTCATGAGTTGTTTTAAGGATCTGGCAATGGATTAAACAATAAAGCTTTATATTAGTAGCAAAGTTAGGATTTTTGTTAAATAAAATGTCTCCCTAACTTAGTACTCATATCTCATGAATTAAAAATTTAAAAATAATGATGGTCCCATGATATGGTTGGATTTAAATACAAAACCCTGGAATTCTGTGTGATTGCTTGAAAACATAAAAAGAAAATAACTGGTAGCAAAGTAAAAAAAACACCAAGTTTGTGTTCGACATTTTCCCCCAAAGAATACATCATACATATGAGTAGATACCTTCTTACATTCTGTTGCAGAACTTACACAAAGGCTATGCCATGTCTGGGGAGTAAGGCCCTAATTATTAATTTACATTATTTCATATAAAGATATTATAATTATTATTATTCAATTAGGTCTCTGTATGATTCTGATTTTATTCTACTGAATCAAATTTGATCTCATGAAGGTGAAAATCTGGAGTAGCAGCAGTCTGGAGTTGCTATATGTCTAGTTTTAAGTAGATAATGAAATCAAAAGTATGCTTTTATTTTTGAATGTGTTGTTACCGTGACTTAAAATTATGCTAATTCATGTAAAATCACATTATATAACACCAACTAAAAACTGAAAAAACCCCACTGTCAAGCTGTAATGGTGGAAACTAGCCTGTAGGCATCTTTTAATGTTGTTTTAAATTTTAGTTTTAATCTTTACTATTTTTCTAAAGACAAGTTAATCGTTATTGGATATCACTCATTAAAACTCAATTTACAACTGATTAAAATCTTGGCATTGTTTCACACTTTTGCTAGCTATTAGCATATATTCGATTAAAGAATTTTTTGGCTTAACATACACTTATTTAGATTCTTCATTTTAATATTTTATTAAGGTAGAAATTAATGAATACTTCATTTCTTTTTACTTAGTTAATAATGGCTTTTATGATTTCTATTGTACTTTTTAGATGGGAGAAATGACCAAGATTGCTTTTAACCATTAAAGTACAACAAACAACTATATTGCAAATATCAGGAGAGAGCTAAATTTGTCGAGATTTATGACAGTATTCTGAACAACTGAAGTGTTATCAGAAATTGGAGAACTGAGTCAATAATGTCTTTCTACCAGATGCTTCAACATTTTTAGACATGACAGATCTTTTACTTACCTAATTTTTATTTCTTTATTTGAGGAGAACATTAGCTTTCCTATTTTCTCAACCTCTATTTTGTTTCCTAGTATTGAATCAACTTGTCATTGAACTAATTTAGCTTAATAAAAAAATCAACGATTATATACATCAAAAAACACTCAGTCATATACATCCAGTGATACTAAACACCAATGTAGTAGTTTGTTTTCCTAAACTTTAGTAATTTCCTTTAAGACTTGAGAAATGAAGTGTACTGTTTATAATTTATATTCTATTTTATTAGAGTATCCTGTGCCTTAATGCATTATCAGTGTTTCAAATTCATTTTTAAATTAGCTCATTTTATGTAATTACAGAACAGCAAGCCATATAAAATACAAGCTTTGAACTGACCTATAGCTGTCTCTAAGCAACACTATGATTAATTAAATTCTTACAAATTCCCCATATTTTGATACATTGCTAGATGCCACATGTTTAATATACATCATTTGTTTTTCAGCCGCCCTCAATAATTTTGGCTCAAGTCCAGTTTTATCGCAAAATTCCCATCCATACTATATCCTTCAACTGTGATGATATAGAAGCTAATAAATTTTTGTATGAACTATCTACTGAAACGGAGGGAAGGTTTCATAAATACAACATTTATTTGACTCATCCTGATGCTCCAGATTTTATTGTTGTGAGTATCTGAAAATAAATACGTTTGTTTCTTCATCCTATTGAAGGAACCACAAGATCTGCATTATTGTGATTTCATATTACAATAGATTACTAAAAAAAGGGCTAATACTAGTCAGATGTGAAGTGATGTGAAAGCAATGTGTGACATCTTTTGCTTCTGAAATTTTATTAGAACACAACAAAAAAGCCCAAATGTTATAGTGCAGTTGCAAAAATAAAACCCAAAACACCAACAAAACCAAAAACCCAAAACCAAACCAAAACATACCACGAAAAAAACCCAAACAACCAAACTTGAAAGGCCAAACCCAAAAAACATATAGGCCAAATTCAGCTCTGAAAGATACACACGTGATCTCTGCTGTCTGAGAAATAAGTTACTGTTTAAAATGAAACTATAGTTTGTATTCTGTTAATTAAGAAAATGCAGAGCTGAATTTGAATGATGATGAATGAATCAATCTATGAATTTTGCTAAAAGTTTGCTCTATAATAGTCGCTGGGGAGAGATTTACAATGAGTAAAATGACTAAAATAACAGTGGCCTATTAGGTTTGACTTAACAGCTCAATATAACTACACCCAGTAGGAAATTTCTTAATAGAGTAACAGAAGCACCCATTTAAAGCATAGCCTTGTTTTTAATTAAACTTAACACTCAGTTAATTAGTTCCACAAATGTTAGAAATGGTGGTAGTGGAACAATGAGAACAACAAAGAACAAGACAGTAGCAGGAAATATAGAACTTTGCAGACACTGATTAGAAGGAAGATGTGAAAATATTCCAGCCCTTCAAAGATATCAGAGTATCACAGAATCACAGAATGTTAGGAGTTGGAAGAGACCTCGAAAGATCATCCAGTCCAACCCCCCTGCCAGAGCAGGATCACCTAGACTAGGTCACACAGGAACACATCCAGGCAGGTTTTGAATGTCTCCAGAGAAGGAGACTCCACAACCTCTCTGGGCAGCCTGGTCCAGTGCTCTGTCACCCTTACAGTAAAAAAGTTTTTCTTCATGTTCAGATTGAACCTCCTATGCTCCAGCTTGCACCCATTGCCACTTGTCCTGTCATTGGTTATCACTGAGAAGAGCCTGGCTCCTTCCTCTTGACACTCGCCCTTTACAAATTTATAAACACGGATGAGGTCACCCCTCAGTCTCCTCTTCTCCAAGCTAAAGAGACCCAGCTCCCTCAGCTGCTCCTCATAAGGGAGATGCTCCATTTCCTCAATGATCTTTGTGGCCCTGCGCTGGACTCTTTCAACCAGCATACTGGGAATTTTTGGTGATTCTGTTGATGTGGACTGGGTGACACTGCGCATGTTGGAAAGATGAGAGCCAGAGTCCATGTCGTCCATCTCCAGACTTCTGGCCCTGTGGGAGTTGTAGAAGGATCATCATTGGAATTTCCTTCCTGTTTCTTCTTGTAGTCCAAACAATTTCCAGACAGTTTCAATGTTTACTTGAAGAGTATGGTTTTTACTTCCCATTTTTCTGGGACAGTATATGATACGTCTGTGGTCTGTATAATGACAGGACAACAGTTCTAATATATGTATATTGTATTGTATCCTATTTATTTACTTATTTATTTGCTTGCTTGCTTGGAATGAGAGGTGCTACTGACCTCATTACATTATTCAGAAACATGGCTGTTTGTATCTGGGAGTAGCTGGCTTGTTAGGGAATGTTTGTCCTTTTCCTAAAGTGCAAGAATGATTTGAAAGGCTGAATTGCCAAGCACATTTTAATCTTGTTTTCTATAAGCTTGTTCATGCATATAGAAAGCAAACACAAAGAACTTTGATTTAGGAAACAGAGAGACTCCCTGAAAAGGTATGCAAAATTATGCAGCTGTCTTGAGTCATTATTTAAAATTATTATCAGAGTGTGCGGAGTTTCAGTTCAGAAATGAAACATGTTTAGGAGTAATTGTAATAAAACACTTCATTTTCTTTTTGTTAGAGTGAAGACATATGTCTTTTGAAAAAAGAAATTGTACAAGGAGAAAGAGACTTAGAGAAAATGAAGACCTTTCATGCTGAATGTCTGATGATGGATGGTTACAATGGAGAAAATGATCCAGAGAATAAGTACGTCCTCATACTGCTATTATGTTAATAAGAGATAGGAGCTGTTACATTTCTCCTTTTTCACTGTGTTGCATTTTTAACTTCTGACATTCTCCTCTTTTAAAAAGAGAGGTTGTTATTTGTTTTGTTGGAACGGAATAGAAAAATTTGGAAAAATACACCAATACTCTGATGCCTGAAACAAAACGATCTTAAATATCTCACTAGTCTCAAATTACTAGGAATAGTGAAAACGAAGAAGTGAAAATGTTTTCCTGTTTCCAGCACATGGTGAAGTTGTTCCCTCTGACCTAGAGAGTTCACCAAAAATTATTGTCCTGTTGGCAGAGCTGGCTTGGTACTTCATGACTAAATTGCCACTCACTGGGATATGCTGACTGAAACGTAAATTACATACAAATGTATTTGTTTAAAAGTTCGCAAACACCATGAATGAAATTCAGCTTACTTCTTTTCACATTTCTGATTTTACAATGTGTATCTGCATGTTCATGCCATATTTATCCTTGTTCTATCAAAAGATAAGTAATCTCATAATTAAAAATAGTTCCACATTCAGCGTCAGTTGAAAAGCATGTTGAAAATGTAATGGTGCCAAGAATGACTAATCAAAAAGAGATCCTTCACCAGCATACTGAAAGCACACCCCGAGCCACTGTGGAAAAGTTTCCTGTATGTCTGATTAAACTGAGTTTCAGATTGGAGAATAGACACAGACCTAGCTCCAAACATGAAATTACTTGTAACCAGGAGCATAGCCCTAATAAAGAAATAGCTTGCCTGGTGTCTCATTTATCTGTGCAGTAATAGTACAAAAGCAAAAAAGTGCACTAAAAAACCCCAGATTTTTAAGACAGAAATCTATTAAAAACAGTAAGTTAAAATAAAGTTATTAAAAATAAAGTAAAATAAATTAGAAGTGAAGAGTCCTGTGGGACGATTTCATATGTGTGGAAGGGCAGATAGGATGTCCACTATAAAAATGTAGATAAATGTTTATTTCCCAATTTACATTTTTAATTAATTTTGGAACATATGTATACATGTGTGTATAAATATATGTACATATATATATGTGTGTGTGTGTGAGTTATTTTCACTGCTGATGGTAGGTTTACTCTTGTGCCCAAGATGCAAGGTGGCTATTGCAGAAAATTCTGACCTTATTAAAAATATACGAGGGTGTTGCCTTACAAGTAATGAACATCTTTTAAGTAGACTAAGAAATTACTTTTAAATAGTTTTAAAAACTAATAATATTTTAACCTCCTTTGAACTCCCCTTTGAAATGCAGACTAGAATAACAGAGAAATTATTTTGCACTGTTTTTGCACTGCATTTGAAATTATTATTTAAATTACCAGAAGACTGCAGAATTTTTAAACCCATGATATATCTTTGAAGTAATTTCTTGCTCATTTCTTCTTTTTGTCACTTACAAGCAGTAATCACAAGCAGCCAGATACTGTGCCTTCTGTAATCAAACATGTTGAAGAGCAGAGTACTTCCCTTAGCAGTAGGCCATGTTTTGCTTCGGAGGAGCCAGCACCAGCGCCACATCAGCAAACCTGGCAAACCACTGCCGACAGTCCAGCTCGAAGGAAAAAAGCATTACATGCAGGTAAAACTAAAATGACCTCTAGTTGTGAGCAGAATTTATACACTAACTTGAAAAGATTCTGTTGAAAACAGCAAAAAACATTTTCGTTGTAGGAACAAATGAAGCCTTTGATGATGTAAATAACCATCTTTCTGAAATTCCAACCGACTTCTCTTCATTTTTACTTTTCAGCCGTCTTACTCATTTGACCCAGACTCATCTGCTCATTTATACTTCATCACATGCCCTCTGATGAGAGATTAACCATTTTCACAGAATCTTTCAAAAACTCTGCGAGCAGTTTTTTAATAGTAGATATTAAACCTTTGTTTTATTTTATTCTGAATAAGTTCATCACTGGCAAGAATGAAAAGCTGATCTATGTTTCCCTAGTTACAGCATTACTTAAACTAATATTTCTCCTAACTGCACCTCTAACACAATGTTTCTCTTTGAAGTATCCTATGCATGCAGTCTGAAACCAAGTTTTCCTGGCTGATGTGAAAGAAGTCTTCATCCTTCAGAAAGTACAAAGTACAAATTAGTGCTGAAGTAATTTAATCTTTGAGGTCCTGTGTAGGCAGTCCCTTAAAAACTGGGACTAAATACCAACGAGGAACTCAAAAATCCCAGGCACGTATTTGAGCAGTAAGTTAGTTCTTCCTTTCTCTCCCTTTCAACACCTACAGAGCAAACAAAGACGAGTCTGCTGCGAGTCCTGAGCCACAGTGTGAAATCTGGGGAAGAAAGCCTGGCGGAAGGAATAGCTCCTGTAAAAAAGTGTTTTCCTGTCAAAAAGGGCATAAAATGTACAGCCATTTTCAAAGGCAAGTTGACAGAACAGGAAGCTCTGGGTGAGGCAGTTGATAACATTTCTCCTGCTGTTTTTATAGCTAATAGCATCTCATTTGAGGCAAAACTGTGCAGATCTGCAGTACAACAGATCAGAATGCAGCAGAGATGCAGAGAGCTGGACATGCAGTAGGGTATTGGAACAAGGCCTTTACAGCTACGGCCAGACTCCTGCCAGTGCCCAAACTATTTGGTTTACAACAGCTTAGTTACATCCACAGTATGCGGCAGCTGTGATACAGCTATGCCTTGGACCGCTGTAAAGATACCACAGTTTCTTCTTAGCAACAGGATAAATAGATCTTGAGACTCTTGCTATACAGTAATAGATTGTTGTTGTGATATAGTAATTTGTAGTTATGTTCAGTTTTGAGGCTAAAGCTGAGAGTAGTGGTTCTAATTCTGTGGTGCCAATGTAAAAGGAGGTTGCACTTTATTAAATGCTTAGACTAGCAAAAAACATGTTCCCTGGGAGAGATGCATACACAGAGACAAAAGTATTTCCAATGGGGCTTGGATGATATACATCCAGCTAGTTTTAATTTCTCTCAGTAATTCATGCAGCTCTGAACTTTATGATAGGTCCTCTAAGTTGTTCCAAAACCCCACCCATGATACTTAGAGATGTTTGACTTTTCTGCATTTCAGCATCTTATTTTTAGTTCTTTATATACCTTTTATACAGATTTTCATAGTGTTAAACCTTTAATTAGCCACTCCTGGCCATCTCATTAGTGATAGTACTTGGTATCACATCTTAAATTGGGGAATGAGCTGTTTAATCTTTCTTTTTGGGTTATAAGAAATAAATAGAAAGTTCAATTAAAAAAAATAAATTATTCCTCACCTATTTTATAAATTTTCTCATTGATTAATTAGGCATATAGTAACACTGTTACTATTGATCAAGCATCAGGGAACACAGGAAACATAATTCTCTTAGATTAATTTAGCAACTGAAATAGACATTCTGTAGTCTCTGTGACACTGCTAGTAGGCTCAAATAAAAAAATGATGCTATTATATGTCAGCTTATTTTTGTATACTTTTGTGTGCACAAAAACTGTGAGATAATGAAATGCAAATGTTTTCTCTTAGATCTGAAAATGCAGAAAGCTGTGAAAAGGACATCTAAAAGGTATGTGTGGGCGTACATAGATACATGACAAAAATTATAGTTTATATTTTTCTTCAGTCATTTCAAACTTCTCAAATATAATTCTACCTTGTGCTACATCTTACAGTCTCTTTTTTCTAGTTCTCTAGATATCTCTTCGGCTCTTTGGTTAAAGACTCACGGCTTGGTTGCTAGGCGACTCACCATCATGGATGCCTTAGCTCCTACAGCTGTCCCTCGTGGTACAAAATACATCCCAGTTCTGGACAAGCGTGTGGTTTCTAAAGTATTTGATGAGGTAAAACCCTTGTGCTGCTTCAAAGCAAACATAAAACTCCATACTGTTTTCAAAAGGATTTTTTAATTCATTTCTTTAAATGTTATCATTGCATTCTCCAGTCTTCCTTGTTGATGTGCACTAAATGTATAATGCATATCTGAATGTTCATTCATGCATCAGTAAGAAGATAAAACTGATAGTATTAATAGTATCTCTTGTAGACTTTACCCTTAAGTTTTAGAGCTATATATTTTTCTTTCACAGTTACCAGTTGATGGCAGTGTGCCCCCATCAGGTATTCAGCAATTTTCTATACTGATACATATTAATTCACTGGAGTATGTATTCTAGGTTCATAAAGTCATTTTTAAAACTGTGCAGGTGCACAACTTGTGAATTTGTGCATTCTCAAGTTTTACATGTGTCTACTAAGACCTTTTGAAAAGTACTGGAATTCAGTAATTAAAATTAATTCTAGACAATTGTGAGATTGTGCAAAATTGTGCAAAATTCACAATGAATTGTGTATCATGAAGCTCTAATTGCCATTTCATTTAAAGGAAATCTATTTTGTGGCAAGTTACTCTAATTCTTCTTTTGTGATGCATCCAAAGGAAGTCCTGTGAATGTGTTGCAGCTTTTTTTAACATTAGTTAAAAACTAATAGAAACTATTTAAACAATAGTCAAAGAAAAAGCAAAACAGCATCTGTTTAAATGATAAGGGGTGTGCAAGGGGTTTAGAATGGGATGTGGTAACAGAGCTAAGTGAAAGTACTTATAACAAATGTACACATTTGTACATTTTAAAGTTTTCATGTTTGTTTTTTAAATTTTAGAATGGGAATTTTTGCTATAGCACACACATTGTGGAAGCAAAACTAGATCCTCTGTTTTAGTAAAACCAAGTCAAAACCAAGATCTTTAAGGATTTTTTTGAAGTGTGAGATTTTTTTTTGTATGCAATAAAAAGATGGCTTTTTGTATCAAAAACTTTTTAAAAATGTACATTTTAATATTTCAGATGTAAAATAGCCATTTAAAAACCCCACAGATATTCAATGATTTCAATACTGTACAAAACAATCTACTGTAAGAGAAATGTCTAACAAAAGACAGTGTGACTTTCACATAACTCCCATGTCTGATTCCTGAGCAGTCACTTCTTTTCCCATCTTCTTCTGAATATATCTACTAACCAGAGCTCTTTCTCCCACGTTTCTAAATGAATACTCCTCTGAATCCTTTCCAGACAATCCTGAGCTGCATTTGAACTGCTATTTACAAAAATGGCAGTCTGTAAAATAAAGTCTGAAAAAGCAGAAAATAGGTTGTAGGACTAGACATAGAGCTTGAATAGGAGATATTAACAAACTGATTAAGAATCTTAATTATTCCAGTACTTCAGAAGACTTCATTGAAGATAATAAATGTATAGACACTTTTGCATTCTTTCTTCTTAGTTTTCTTAGTGTAGAATGCAGACATCCTTGTTTGCTTTTCTGAGTATAGTATAATTATTCTTTTTGATCTTTGCTAGCAGTGGTGATGGAGTAACTGTGAACAGTTTTCTCACCTTGGAGATGCAGCAAGAAAAACGTTTCTATGACAACTGTTCATTAACAGGAGGGTGACCTTTGTTTTTAGTTCTCTGTGACCTGTCATTTTTATGGGAGTTATTTCAAAGAAGTTAATTCATTAAATGACCTATCAGATTAATACCCCAAAAAATTAAAAATGGTTTGGGGGCTTGTCTAAATTACACTCTGACAGATCTGGAGTACGCCTTCCCTATAGAACCAACTGAGTATCTGTTGCAGATTGTGGCATCTTAAGTACAGCTTTGCAAGTCATGAGTTTTGACTCAATGCTTTGCTCAAAAAGATCAAGCTCAGATTCAGCCAACCAAAACATCTTGTTCAGTCTAAAATAAGAAGGATTTTTCTAGCGCTATTGTTCTTTGGTTTTGTCTTTAAAATTTTGAAATTTTCACTTTGAAAGAAAAGCCATTTTGAAATAAGTGAATTTTTTGATGTATAAGTTTAGGTATTTAATTTAGAAAAATGACAAAACATTTTGGCACTAAAAAATCTTCCATGTGATTTCTTTTAGCTGAATCTGTCAAATTTCACTTGACTTCATGAGCAGTTTTCATTGCTCTCAAAGTATGAATAATATTCCAAGTTTACTATTTGCTAAGAACACGTTCCACTCTGGTTTTATTCTTCAGTATTGTAACAATGTGTTTATGTTTGTCTGCCCCTCATATTCTATGAAAAGTATTTTATAAACTGTATTAAATATTCATTTTTAAAATTATGCTGTTCCCAGTTACTCTGCAAATTAGTAAGAGAACGTAGGAGAGAGCTTCTACGTGGCGAATCCCTGCTGAGTGTACATGATTTGAGTAATGCAGCACAGAACAACCATGGCAGTGTGGAACTGGAAGAGGGTTACTCTCAGTTCCTTGCCTTTCAGCTTTCAAGCTCCACCTGGAAATGGCAGGTTGCCAGATTCCATGGCTTGCACTTCTGGGCAGAGATTTACCTCGTCTGTCTCTGGCAAGATCCTTCATGGACATGTTCCCATTAACGTTAGCTTCCAAGCAATCTTAAGATTAATTTAATATGAGGAGCTTTGATGTTGTCTGGCACTGATGTGATACAGATTTATTAAGCAGATGTCCTCAGAAAGAGAGGAGAATATAAAGTCAGAGCACTGCTCCTGAAAAAATGGTCATACAGCAGCAATTTGGAATCCAGCTAGTCTGTGATGATTCAGACACAAATAAAACATCACTGGAAAATATTATCAATTAAACTACTCTTTTAATTGTTTTACTTTCTGCTTGCTTGCCTTATTCTCCCAAGAAAGGTTTTAGTTTTATTTAAATTGAACCTCATCCATCTTTTTGTCATCTATATCCTGATCTCAGACAGACACTTGGAGAAGCTTCCCGCTCAACCATATGTATTGAAGGCAGTTTTTGGGGGAGTAACATTCTCTGTCTTTTCCGTTTCTTTCTTGGATTTTTTCTGTTTATAATCATCATCAGGATAGTGATATATAAAATAGCTTTTCTTATACAAACTGCTGAGTAATTTAAAAGGCTGAATGATGGTGTAACTTCAGACTGAGAGATGGGAAGGAATCTTTCTTCCTCTCTGTCATCGTTTTCTACCCTTTTCTTTGCCTTTTGAAGATCTACTTGTAAGTGTATGACTTTCTATTTTATAATGAAGTTGACTTATACAGACACTGTATTGTAAGATTTAAAAAGTATTGAAGTTCCTGATTCTGACCAACCTGGTTAGGTTCCTAAGCGTTATTGAGGTTAATTAAGACTCGGTTCAATGAGCAATATCCACCTTGTTCACTCTTTGGTGGTCACTGTAATGGTGAAAAATGTCTCTCTCCACCTTTACTACTCTAATTACTTAGCAAATATTGTCCTCCAAAATAAGAGTATTAAATACACTTAAATCAGTAACTATCACAACTGTATGCTAGAATTAGATGCTAGTGAGTATAGAGAATGTTGTTTTAAAGCAGTATAATCTGGAATGTGATCATGATCTAGACATGCTTGTCTCCCTTCTGACCTACCCTTCCGTTCTTAAAGTGACTTTTTTGTCAGTACTGATTTAGTTAGAATTAACTAGTAGTTAGGAATCTTAATTTGCGACTTCTGCATAAAGGGATTGTATAATTTTAGAAGATTTTATTAACAGGCTGGAAACTATGTCTTAATTCTGACATTTCTTTAGGGTGCTCAGATCTTTCTTTCTGCAGCCTTCTAGTGTCCTTTCTGTCCATTCTGATTCTTGGACATGAACTCATGAGCATTTAGTTACTCTGGTGGAGGAAAAGTTGTATGATAAATGAAGTCTTTGTCTTTTATTGTATAATAGATGTTACCGCTGGCCCATGTTTGCAACGACAAGAAGCAGATCACACTAATTAATCCCCAGGCAGTGAATCTTGATGCCTATAAAGAGAAGCTGGAACAAGCAATTAAATCCTATGAAAGGCAAGTCTAGTCATCAGAAATTTCTCATGTTTGCAGTCTAATTTCAATTTTTTTAAATGTACTGGATATGTGCTTACACATGCTTTGCTCAATACTGGTAACTCTGCACATCAACACATTTTAATCACCATCAATCTGTCGGAAAAATGTTTGTTTTCTTCAAAAAACATGCAAAATGAAAAACCAGATAATAGGCAAGAAGATAATAATGTGTTGCTCATATTATTTTGTTCAATGACAAAAATAATTTATTATTATTTATTATTATGGTTTTTTTTAAGTAGTGCATTTTTTTGACTACTAAGGTCATTCAGTAACCTTATGAAAGCTTTGACTAGAATTGTTTTAATAAATAAGGTATCTTTTCAAGCTGTATTCTGTTAATATGTACAGATGTAATTATTTTATATGATCAAGTCTTTGGTTTTTTTTAATGCATTCCACTGAGGCCCTGTAAGGTTTTGGGTTTTTTTCCTCTGTAGCTCTATGATCATACCACTTCTTTTTAAAGCATGTAGTAGCTCTCTTTTTCATTCCCATTTCCTCTTTCTAAATGTAATGTTTTTGTGGTACAACAGAATTATGTTTTGGAAATGCTGTTTGCTATGTCTAATATTAATGGAATTCAGTGAAGAAAAATATTAGTTTTGTGTGCTCTGTCACTGAGAGAACAGTGTTATTAACAGGATGATGAAGAATTCATACAAATCTGGATTTGTCACTCATTTTGATAGAAGGGTCAAGTGGTATGTTTTTGATGATGACTTCTGAAAAAAACATTCAAATTTTTCTTTGCTGTGGTGTACAATTGAATATTTTACATTTATTGTCTTTGATTTTGAGGGAAAGAAAAGTGTTTTCTGGTTAAACTCTGATGATCTTCTATTGACATAATTTTCATAGTCTCCCTAAAACTTTGATGATTTGGAGTGTGGTTTGCTTATGTTTGCTCATAGAGGTCAATTTATTTAACAAGAGTAGGATTGAGTTTCCTACTGATGTATAGAAGAGAGATCTGCCTGAAGATCCTTATTATTGGCAACGTAAAAAAACTTTCTTACTGCTTATCTTTTATATGTGAAATAGCAACTCAGTCAAATTTATTTTGCTGTAGATGCCACAACACTTTTCGAGTAATTGAATTTGCAAATGCTGCAGTTCAGCTTTGTGAATAGTGATTGGTCACAAATTTATTCTGTCATGTATAAATGAAGTAATACATCAGGGCATGCAGGTTTCAAGAACGGAAGTGAGCCTGACAATATCTTCTCTATACATAGATTGACCTTAGCATCAGATTAAGATGGTGAAAAGTGATGAGGACAGAAATTTTGTGCTCTGCCAAAGCGAATATCCAGTATTGAAGGAGAAAGACACTGGAAGCCTCAAAATGTGTATGATGTTGTATAGCCAGAGGCTTTTACAAATGAATTAGTTACCAGTGTGCACATTTAGAAATATGAAATAGGCAGTGGAGCATGCTGAAACTGCAGATTGTGAATTAACTAAGTAATTTACATTCTAAAAATGCTGGGGTTTGGTTTCTAGTAGATAAAATGAATCAGCAATAAATTAATGTTCAAAATCTGGTGTTAATGAGCTTTTTTGTACATGCACCAGTAAATCTAGCAAGACTGTTAAAATTCTAATGGTTACAATCTGAATTTTTCTTAACAATTAATTTGTTCTTCTATTTCTAAAGAAAGATTGGAAATTTTTTTATAATTACAGCAATTAGGATCATTGGTAGTGGTTTATTTCTGCAGTATGAAATGAAGTAATTGAGTGAATGGCTTAATTATTTGAGAAGTTAATAAAAAGAAAAAGCTGTAAGCTAGATGATCTAATAACAGTTCATAATTTATGTCTAAAAAGCAAAAGCAGAAAGTTTAGTAGTGCTTTTAAAAGATCTCAAAACTGCATTGTTTTGGGATAATCACTACTGTTTTCCTGTCAGTAGTTTTTCTTTATAGCAAAAGTTTAATGAAATAGAAACCTGAATAGCACAACCGAGGGGTTATCTTAGGAGGAAAAAAAAATAGCATTGCTCTTCATGTGTCTTCAGACTACAGTTTTCTGAAACTGTTTAATTGGGAGAACTGTGCTCAGCTTAACTGGCATTTAATCGGTTTTGTTATTTGATTTAGCTTGCTGGTGCCAAAGAAAATCATCCATAGAAATCCTGGCAGGAAGCAACAGTGTTTGCCATTAATCCTTCTATGACCCTGAAATAGCCATGTTGCTACTTGATGGAAGATGCTGTTTTCTCATCTTCTCTTGCAGTTGATAATTTCATAGCTGAATGATAAGGATACAATTTGATGATATAGTGCTCTTGGAATACAAATCAGTGCAGATATCTTAAGAAACTGTGTTTATTTGCTAGTTTTGAGATGATCAGATGCACAAGGAACTGCATTTCCTCAAAAACTTTTTTGCTTTACAGACGCCTAAACCTAGTTATTTGGAGAGCACTGTCTCAAGAGGAAAGAGACAAGTAAGCTATCAGCTTTTGGATTTTTAACTTACTTCTGAAAGGCTGGTCATAAATATTTGTTACTTTTTTATCACTATTTCTGTAACTGACTGGTTTTATTTTCAAATATTTCATAACTATACTTTCAAAAATGTACGTGTGATATAGAATAATATTAAATTCTGGACCTCCTTCTTGCAGTGCTGCTTATTTTTAAAGGAAAATACTTTCATTCCATTTGTATGGTGCTGATCTATTCTTAGTGTCAAGTGGCAGGGACTTGGGAGGGCAGCACAACATTGCCTTTGGCATCAAAGTACATCTCTCAACCTGTAAAAAGCACTTCAGTGGCTGGTTTGTAAAGATGTAATAAGCACCTCTGCAGCCTGTGCTGGACCTGTATATCACACTGGAAGTTTCTGCTACTTTAACTGGCTTGTTTCTGTATATTGATATATATAGAATAGATATATGTGTGTGTGTGTGTATGTGTGTGTGTGTGTGTGTGTATATATAAAACTAGTGACTGTGTAAAGAGGACTGACATCAGTCAAGTTAGCATCTGTTTACTTCAGAGAATAAAGTGAAGATCAATTAATGAAAACTGAATGGTCATGAAATATTCCTAGGCAGAAAAATGGGAGTGAATATTAGAATGCTTTTAAGAAGACTTAAGCTAATGAACAAAAAATACACATTTCTATCATCAATAAGGGGAACTAAAACCTCACTCCGGTGCAGAGAGAAGTAAAAAACCAAAAGAACAGCATATGATTTTAAAAAAAAGGAAACAGATGTCTGTTGATAGACAATGAGTTGTAGATTATAAATTTGATGGGGTGGTATACAAAATATTTAATTGTTGGTAACATATGGCAGATTATGTATATAAGGGGGAAAAAAAGTCCTAGGAGTTGTACAGTTGTACAGTCTATTACTAGAGGGGCATATTCAAATTGTTATTATTGGTGCATAGAAATTGAAATATTTCTATTTATCTTCTAAATTTACAATTTGTATGATCACGTTCATATATTACAAAAGAATGATAACGCATTTCAAAATTAGTAATCTAGAAAGAAAGAGTAGGAGACAAAGTCAACTAACTTGGTCACAGGAGTCCTGAAATAATTGGTCGAGGAGCTTTCTGGTTTACTAGTGAGTACTAGGGAAATTCAAATTTACTAGAGAAGTGGTAATATTGTGCTTGTGTTTCAAATGTTTGAGAGATCCAACTCAGGAGGTAAGTGATTTGATTTAGCTTGACATTGGTTATAAATTAATAATGGTTTCAGTTAATAGAGAATGAAATCGAGCTAACTGACTATACCAGTCAGGTTAATTTCAACACAAAGCAGTTCCTAGAGGAGTAGAGAGATAAGCAGTGACAAAGAGTAGGACAACAGTTTTTTTAAATATTGGCAAAGCTGTAGAGAAGAGCCACAGAGAGCTAATTTTTGAGTACTAAAAATAGATATGTTACTTCCAGTTAGAGATATAAAGAAATCTACCTATTTTTCACCTCTTTAGTCTTGGCATAATCTCAACCATGGATGAAAGCAAACTCCTAACTGCAGAGTGCAATTGAGCAATGCAGGACTGACAGACGAATAAACAGCAGGAGTTTGTCTCTCTTTCATGTGATCAGTCAAGACTGAAGTGGCAAATCAGGACTTAATAGATGTCTGGTGCCATTTCAGATGGTCTGGATGCTTGCCACTTCACCCTAGCTGCTGCTCCAGAAGAGCCAGGGATTTCCATAATTTCTCAGTCATATCTGCAAGTTCTTTACTGATGCCTCACATATTCTAGGACATGCAAAATGGCACCAGACATCTATGTCAGCCACTTGAATTACTCTGTAGATGTTTTTCTAAGTCATGGTTAAGCCAGATGTGATTGTTTGACTAAACACAACAGGAGCTGGATGAAATGTAAGAATTTGTGGCATATAGAAGATTGATTGGATGAATCTGATGTTTTATTCTGCCTTTATGCTTTGTGGTTCTATTTGCAAAGTACTGCCAAAATTAAAATTTTTCCTATTTGTCATTGCTAATTTTTTTATTTTTTTTTAGATTTGAAGAGGATGGGCCAGTTCAGTATATGCAGCATAAAGAAGCTTTGCTGGAGTCTTTAGAGAATTTGGGATGGCCAATTTCCTCTGAAGATGTAATATTGTTAGAAGATGAGATACTGACAGCATTGACATATGTGCAACAAGCCTCTGATCTTCAGGAAGCTGTCAAAAAACAAACTGAGAAAAGTTCAGAATCACAGATAAGCAACAATAAAAAGGTAATAGATTGGAAGGGATTTCCTACTCACCACCCCAGATATACCTCTTCAGTATTTGTTTCTGGGATAATTTTGTTCTATAGTTATAGCTGACAAAGTAAGCATTTAGCATGGTGCTGTGCAAAGGGATAGAGGAAAGAAGGTAGTTAAAAAGAGCAAGCTTTCAATGACTTTTTCAAAGTACCAGGGAAGCACAAGTTCTGATGCTGAGAGACACAGAAATGGAGCCTTTTAGAAACAAATTTGAGCAAAGTATCTTTATTTCCTCTGCAACAACAGCTGAGATCTATATATGAAAGAAGAGATATATTAAAGGCAATTATGATATAAGGTTTGTAGTTGGGATATATCACTGAGTGAGGGAAACTACTCTGACTGAACTTGAAGGTGTGGCTGGCCTAGTTGCAGTGAACACTGATGAAAGTCCTATGCTTTGTATTATGTAAGCAGCATCATCAAATTATCATAATAGTTCTTTTTTGCCTTGACATATGCATGTGTATGGATACAAATATGTATATATATCTATGCATATACAAAAATACATAGCAAAGATAAGCAAAGGGAAACTCAAATGAGCACAGTACAAACCAATACTATGAGTTCTCAGCAATGAATGGGAAAGTACACTTGGAATTTGCAATTGTAAATCATGCCGAGTAACCATATACTTTGCTTACCAGAGTATACCAAAAATCTTTAATTTAATTTTCCATTCCTTGACTGAGATATACCTTTTCATTGAAATGAACAATAGTTTTTATGATAATGCAGCTATTTTCATTATTGATTTACTTCTGCCGTATAATAACCCAATACAAGTGTAGTGGAAACATGTTCATGTTGACTGTCATTTGCCTTGAAACAACCAATGTGTGCTCTCAGACATGATGTGATTAACATTGTGCAATCACTTATCCTGAGTCAACCTGCTTTAGGAGCCTAATCAAAGCACCATCTTCAGTAATTGCTAATCTGCAACTGAAAAGCTTTAAGAGTGAGAGGCAGAAATGCAGATGTAATTAGAGTTCTGTTTATGTGGCAGAAAAAAGAGTGGGGGAAAAAGCCCCAGACAAAACTGAGGAGCCTTTTAAAAATGCTGTTGGAGGTTTTTCCAACTGTAATGTCTGTCTACAAAATAGGTATAAAAAAAAATAACTGTCAGCTGAAATACATTATGTCAAGGAAATAGCTTATATGGCACTGGATGAAAATTGTCATTGTGAAATGGTAGAAAAATCACAATTCTGCTTAACAAAGCAGAGTTTTAAAATGTCTCCTATTTTTTGTCTACTAAATTAAAAGTAAAACCCCTTCATTTTTAGCTTTTAAGGGTTCCTAATTACCTTCACAACTTCTTAAAAGAATTAGTAATCCCTTTTGGATATCGTTGCTATGGGAGCTTTCTGTTTAAGCCTACGACTGAATTAATGGTCTGGTTATCTTCCCTCTGTGCTCTGACCTCTGGGAGTTGTGTTCAAGCTGCTCTATCTGCACATACCTGTGAACGATAGGGTATGCCAGAGACTTATTGGAGAAGGATGAAGTAGACACCCATCTGCACAGGGCTGTGAGATGACTGAAGATCTCTACTGATGCAAGAAGTAAATGCTTTGGGAAAATGAGCAAACACATTCAGTTATTATCAGGCTATTATCAGTGTTATAAAACACTGAATGTTGATGATTACCTAATTGTAAAACCATATTTTACTCAGCTTCCTCAGTTCCTTTTGCTATACAGATTAAAGCATGGGTTGACAGAAATCTTCCTCTTCAGGCTGGCACTCAGCTTTCATCTAAAGATATTAAAATGAGGAAAGTATAATTTACTTTGGTTTTAGGTGGGTTTTTTGTTTGTTTTGGGTTATTTTTTGTGGGTTTTTTTTTCAATAAGTGACTGCTTTGACATCAAATATTGTATCTGTTTTCTGTTTTGAACTTTCAGGCATAACTTTCAACCATATTTTTTAATTATGTTGGGTTTTTTCCTCGTAGAATTATAAATCTATTTACAACATGATGTCACTTAGTAAAAGGACTTATTCAACCTCCTCTGCCCACTTCTCATTAGATCACCTCAGGTCTTCTGTGGTCACAGCATCACATTCTCGAAGCATGGTACTTTCCAGGATAGTTTGATCCATTCTGTTAATGGCTGTAACATTTTCATGTAAAGCATTTCTTTCCATAAGTGTCATAACCTGGCCTTTGAGTGTGATGGAGAACATTTCCTCTCATACTAAACATTTCTGTTTCTACATATGATTGGACTTCAGATTCTGCAGGCAAATAAAGCTGCATTCATTGCTAAGGGTTAACTCTCATTAAGAATATACTTCAAAAATTACTATGTTTCCCTTAGGAGGGGTACAGACATGCAAGGCTTATGCTTGTTTGTGACTCTGCCGAATAGTCACCATGTGATTAAAAATAGCTTAAAATAGTTTATAAGCCTAATGTGTCTTGTAAAGCATGTTTATTTGGGTGGAAAGGGCCCTCTAGTGGCTCATGGAGTCTGTTCTTTCTGAAAAAATTTGTTTCATATGCAATTGATTTAATTATTCCTAATGAAATATTTATAGCTGAGACATGATTCTTTACATGAATGGAAATTCAGGAACTCCCTTGGCAGTTTTTTCTATTTCCTGGTGTCCTATTTCTTACACTCCTCATTCTTCAAGGATCGCTAATCGCTGTCTGTTGATACCTTGTTTGCATTCATATGTTTCCTAAACAGCTTGACATCCTCTGCCTTTGTTCTTGTGTCTCTCTAGAGAGATAAGAGCAAACAAGCATCCCAAATAGCACAATAAAAAAGTTATAACTACCTAAAAATGTTCAAATGTTCTATTGTCAGAAGTGAAATAACCTGCTGGACAGACAGTAGGAAAACACAAAAACTGATCTTTTTGAAAGGAAATTTAAAAATGCAGGGGATATTGGCAGGGGGAAACAAAATCTCCTTCGCCTCGTGGTTTAATGCATTGCCTTCAAACAGAAGCAGAGCTGCAGAGGGTGGAAATCCCTGAGAATCAGACGGGGCCCATTTGCAATAAAAATACTGGAGAACGATGTGCCAGAAGTGGGCACTCTGACAGTATCTGGGTCAATCACGCTGAAGACCTAAAGGCTCTTTGAGGGGAAGGAGAGATGGATTTGAATTTAGACAGTATTTCTGAGCCACCTGAATTCAAAAATCACTGTGGATGCCTGTGCGGTCTTTACTGTTTGGATTAATGCGGAGTGGTGGAAGTTGCCCAAGTTATTAGTCAAGCATTACAAATTAGCTGATAATAAATATTCAGCAGCAGCTGTCCCTTTGGAGCCCGAGGAATTAAGTGAATGGTTTCCCCAAATACCTTTTTGTGTCTGTGGAGCTGTAAGTCTTTGCACTCAAATCAGCCTTTGTTAGACTGTACTTCAAACAGTCACTTAAGCGCTGTGAAGAGCCTCTGGTGTAGACTCAGTCTGAAAAACAGAACTGTTGATATAATTTATATTCTATAGGGGTAAAGAATAAACTAGAAAAAACCCATGTATCTCCCATTTAAAATATCTCTTTGCCCCTTTTTTGTGTGTTTTTCTTATTTGTAGGGCTTTTGCTAGGGTTGTTTGTGATTTTTGTGTGGGAGATAATGGAACAAAGAATTTGTGATAGTTATAGTGAAGCTGAGAATAAACAATTAAGTCAAAGTTATTTCCATCTTTTCTGTCATTACTGACTGTAAGGGAAAATCAAGTATCAAGGTAAAAAATATCTTTTTAGGAAGAAAAATGTCACTAGACAAGGAAGCAGGTCATACACACCCTAGCAAGCAGGGGTTTTTAGGAATCTGTGAGTTCTGGTTGTTTTTCAGAACAGTGTAGATCTGTGAAAAGTTTGAGATTTCAAGCTGTGTGTTTTTATGATTCAAGGGAACTGTATAAGAGATGGATGCTCTCAAATTGTTTATGAGGTAGGCTAACGTGTTTTAAAAATTAATGGGGAAATGGATTTATTTAACTTTGGAATTGCTTATGATTTATATTTAGAAATATTATTGTGAGCAGTATGGAGAAAATAATACACTTTTTCAAGAATTAATTTGCTATTGTTGAGGTAAATATAAATTACAATGTTATTCTGAAGGATTATTAAAATGTACTTATAAAAAACTGGAATTACAGACTTTTCTATATTAGAAATAAAATGTTTTAATATAATTTGTTTTCCTAACTTTTTCAGGAAAACAAAATGTAAAATGTTCTTTCACATTCTGAAATATACACAAAATACTCTGATCCTCTTAAAACTTCCTGTAAGAGAGGTGCCCTGAATGGGAAGACATTGTTTCTTCTAGAAAAAAAGGGATTGAGGAACTTGATCTACTTTAAAGGCAAACAACACTGAGACTCCATAAAATGTTAGTGTGAGATATAAAGGGCTTTAAGGTAAAAGAATATGGTGTCTGCAAAGTCAAGTGCGCAGAAGCTTGGAAAGCCCAGCAGTGTATTTTTACATAGAGCCACCTGTGATTTGTGAGTCTTTGACTGTTTTTCACATACTGTGTTTCCCACAGCCCCCTGCCTCAGTTGCTGTGTGAGATCCATCGTGCTTTTTGCATTCTTCATTCACTTACTACTAATTGTAGTCACTGACTTCAACTAGGAGTTGAGTTGGATTGCATACAGCCAGCCCCAATGGTATTTCACAGAATCACAGAATATTAGGAGTTGGAAGGGACCTCGAAAGATCATCCAGTCCAACCCCCCTGCCAGAGCAGGATCACCTAGACTAGGTTGCACAGGAACACCTCCAGGCGGGTCTTGAATGTCTCCAGAGAAAGAGACTCCACAACCTCTCTGGGCAGCCTGTTCCAGTGCTCTGTCACCCTCACAGTAAAAAGTTTTTCCTCATGTTCAGATTGAACCTCCTATGCTCCAGCTTGCTCCCATTGTCCCTTGTCCTGTCATTGGCTGTCACTGAGAAGAGCCTGGCTCCTTCCTCCTGACGCTTGCCCTTTACAAATTTATAAACATGGATGAGGTCACCCCTCAGTCTCCTCCAAGCTGAAGAGACCCAGCTCCCTCAGCTGCTCCTTATAAGGCAGATGCTCCACTCCCGCAATCATCTTTGTGGCCCTGCGCTGGACTCTTTCAAGCAAATTTTGATTCTCACCATCCGTTGTGTGGTCCTCCAGACTTACTTATGAGCCATTCAACAGTAACCGCTGGTGTTCTGTGTGGACGTGGAGGTACATTACAGGAGCTGTAGTCTGAGGAGATGCCTTTAAAGAGCAGGATTAATGTATGAAGAACCCAAACTAGCAGGGCAGAATGACGGACAGTGGCAGCTCTGGAAAATGTGGTTTAATATTTTGGTAAGCTGGAATACTTTAAAACTGCTGAACATTTTAATTTGTAATTTACAGTTTGTAAATAAACATTTTTTCTGGTCCCTTCAAGATTTTTTTTTAATTGATTCTGTATTTGATTTTTCTAATCAGTTATTCCATACAGTGAGGTACTTTTAATGAAAATAAGATTATTGAGAAGACCCACCTATCCGGACAAGATGGATGTGTATAATACATTCACTTATTCTGCAAAATCAGTTGATTTTTCCTTGCATCATCCTTGAATATGAATTGTAAAACACTGTAAATTTTTTTATAGGAACCAGAGCCATAATTCATCAAGGTAAATTTCTGCCTGAACACTTGGAAATATAGGTATTGTTGTGACCATGTAAAACAGGATTTTATAGTGAAAACTCTTAGACAATCTTATCCATGAGTACTTCCTGTAACATCACTTCCTCTGTTTATAACTATTCTGAATGTCTAAAATAATTCCAGTTTACTGTGAATTATTTGCAGAGGCCATAACATTACATTGTCTAAATTTTTAAGTAATGCCAAAGGATAATTTGAGGCTGACTGGCTTAGCTGTTGTGGAAAAAATAACTGTATCAAATTACAGAGACTTGAAGAAGAAACTGTGAAGTCAAAGTCTAAAAAAAGACAAAAAGGCCAAGTATTTGAGACTCACAAAAGCCAAAAGGTGATTGCAAGATCAGACATCACAGGATTTTATTACCCAGGTAGATATTTCTGTTCACATTTTAAATATTTTTTTGAGTTTCTTAATACTGATAAAACATTAGTTTTGGTCATAATTAGCTACTGCCCCCTTAATCAGATTTAATATTACATGTGCATATTCATGAAAAATTAGTATATATTTTGTGTGTGCATATATATACATTCATAAAAAGAAATAAGTTTTGTAAAGTTAGAAAGCAATTAAGCGTTTATATAAGAAGAGTATGGATGGAAATCCTTTTAAGTAACTGAGTGTACAAGAGTATCAACCTATCCCTCTTTGATGTCTCTCTTGAGTGTTTCTGTTGAGCATTCGGCAAAAGCCAAGCTTCTGCATGTGTTCAAAGAATTCACTAAATGCTTCTGCCATTTTTTTTGAGTTTTGAGCAAGAATTATTGAGTAGGTAAAATTGTGTTCTGATGTTTCACAAAAAAAATCATGTGCGTATGTGTTTTTATTTTTGTGTTACCTTTTAAATTACATATTTTTAACTGTGGTAACAGTTTCATTATGTCAACAATCATTCACCTGATCAGCTTACAAATTCCAGACCTAGGCTTTAACATTATTCATTGTTTTATTTTTATAGCATTATTAAGAATGGTTACTAAGACTGTGGGGTTTTTTAGGTACAAATTTGTCTACTGTCCTAGCACAGCTTAAGCTAGCTAAATGAAAATGAAGGATGTGTAGTACAGACATGTTTGAGCTCAGTGATATGTGACAGCCTGTAGGATTAAACAAAAAATTCCACAAGGGGTAAAAGAAAACTAATTTGAATATTTTATTATGTTGGTTTTTTAGGAACTGTGATAAAGAATATTAGTTCTACCTCTGCACTTGTTGACTTCAGAAATGGGGAGACCTGGATTGTACCTGTAAAGTTCACTATATCTGTGGGAGGTGCTATGCCATGCCCACATCTGCAGGTGAAAAACTATTTTTTTATGACAGCAAATATGCATTTTAGTTTTTTTATTTAGTCACACACAGAATAAAGAATAGATTTTTCAATATTTTAAATACATGTATTTATTTTTAAAAAGAGATTTTAGTGATACTAATATGCTATTTTCAACATGCTATTTTTCATTTGTTTTGAGCTTGTTTTAGTTGTAATCCTATTCCTTTGTTTATTAAAATCATAGAATCAGAGAATGGTTTAGGTTGGAAGGGACCTTAAAGATCATCTGGTCCAATCCCCCTGCCATGGCCAGGGACACCTCCCACCAGACCAGGTTGCCCAAAGCCCTGTCCAACCTGGCCTTGAACACTTCCAGGGAGGGGGCATCCACCGCTTCCCTGGGCAACCTGTGCCAGTGTCTCACCATCCTCACAATAAGGAATTTCCTCCTAATATCTAGTCTCAGTCTACTCTCTTCCAGTTTAAAACTGTTAGCCCTTGTTTTATCACTACCTGCCCTTGTAAAAAGTCCCTCCTCATCTTTCCTGTAGAGATCCCCTTCAGATACTGGAAGGTCACTATAAGGTCCCCCCAGAGCCTTCTCTTCTCCAGGCTGAACAGCCCCAACTCTCTCAGCTGGTCCTCATAGGGGAGGTGCTCCAGCCCTCTGATCATCTTTGTGCCCTCCTATGGACCCGCTCCAACAGCTCCATGTCCTTCTTGTGTTGGGGACTCCAAAGCTGGACACAGTTCTCCAGATGGGGTCTCACAAGAGCAGAGTAGAGGGGCAGAATCACCTCCCTTGCCCTGCTGGTCACACCTCTTTTGATGCAGCCCAGGATGCGGTTGGCTTTCTAGTCTGCAGGTGCACATCACTGGCTCGTAGTGAGCTTTTCATCCACCAGTACCCGCAAGTCCTTCTCCTCAGGGCTGCTCTCAATCTATTCTCTGCCCAGCTGTGTTTGTCCTTGTCCATATTATTGTATTTATAAAACATGAATATTTGTCCATCTGTAGAAGAAAAGTGAGGTATTTACCAGCAGAAAGATTGTTTTCTAGCACATAGATTACGAATCAAGGAGAGCCTTTTATACACAGTGTGATGTAGAGCAGATTATAACCATTTGTTTATCATAGCATATTTTAAATCCAGCAGATAACCTTATACTAAGGCAAATAATAGTAATGAAAAAAATCTTATTCCACATCTGCTTTTATTTCAAATTTATCAGATGACTGTAATCACAGTTGCTTTTTCAGGTAATTTTTATTTTGCACATGAGAGTGATGATAGATACAGAAAGGATACAGCTGTTTTGAATACAAAGGGCATTTTTATAAATGTTTTGTTACACTTAAAACTAGACATACCTTTTTTTTTCCCTTTGAAATGAAGGCAAATCCTGATCAGGTAGTTCCTGATATTCTGGAAGGGGAGCATCCAGTTCTAGAGAAGATCTGCAGAATTTGACAGAAAATTGTGACTTCTGTGTTAATTTTTAAAATTATTTTGTTTAAGTCAGTTCCATATGTAATTCTTTAAAATTTAAAGTAAATTTTAAAATATAAAATTTTAAATTTAAAAACAGAATAAACCTGTAGAAATTTGTGCAATATCCAAGGGAATGAGGAGTTGTAGGAGTTTCCTCATTCAGTTCTCTCATTCAGTTTGACTTGCTAGTTAAGCCCTGGTACATTTATTAGGGCTTTGTTCTTTATTTTTGCTTTGTATTCTCTCCCTGAGTCAGTGGTAACTGTGAGCGATCAGTATATGCAAGGGCTAAGTTCTTCTTTTTTTTTAAAGATCCATATTAAAATTTATGTTAGAATGATTATTCGTGTAAAAATATCTTAACATTTACCTTTTATGTCTTGTAAAACTCACAAGTTAGACAGTTCTTGTAAAGCAGTGTTTTCCTGATGTGCAGGTTGGAGATTGTGTGTTTGCCAGAACTGGGACACAGACAGGTTATGAATATTACGTGCCTGCCATTGTCATAGCAACTCCAAAGAGGATGGAAATGGGTGACAAACTCTACACAGTTCATATGTTCAACAGCAGGAAGGTAAGTAGACCTAGAAGATGATACCAATTTGGCAATGGTATAACCCTTGTTCTATTTTTGATGAAGCAGATACCATTTTCCTGGCTGACGAGCTCACTGTCCCAATCCCTGTCTCTAGCTAACCAAAGTAAATCAGATTTCAGGGCTCAATGAAGAGCTTATGTGATAGACATGATCCAAGAAATTCTGTAGGATAATTTATTCTTAAATCATTCCCTGTTCTTTCCTCTGTAATCCATTTGGTGGCTTTCACATGCTCCATGCTGCTAAAATGAGAAACCCAGTGATTTTTATCACAGTCAGTATAGTCTTCAACTCATTTCATTATGTTTGTTTGTTTGTCAGCCATTATGATAATTTTACTGCATTTTTTCATAGTGCATATTAAGAAAATGTACTTCGTACGTGAAACTTTTATTTCATTATTTAGAGGCTGATTATAGTTATATTAAAACAGTTGACTTTTTATAGATATGTATCTTCATTGTTTCTGATACTTAGATTTAAATTAGATGAATGTTGATTGTGTTATTGCAGGAACACTGTGTAAGAAGTGGGCTCATTAAAATCAGTCAGACAAAGTATGCCTTTTCCTGTCGGTACATAAGAATGGTGCAGATGGTGGATTATATGATGTGAGTATGCTTGAACCTAAAAATATAAAAGCTATTTTATGTGAATTCTAAATGTTGCACTTTGGGTTCAACTGTGCTGTCAGATTTCCATATGTAGTGCCCTAAATACAGTTATTGTGAACTTACTTGGTCTACACACGCAATCAAGTGATTTGATCTAAGAGAATGTAGATTAGAAGAGTGTTAACTGTCTGTCCTACCATTTTATTATCTGGCAATTTATTGCCCTATTTTCCTTTTGGAAACATTGGTGGGATATGATGTTTAGAAGCTGGTTAGGGAGTTGTTTAGAAGCTGGTTAGGGAGTTGTTTAGAAGATGATTAGATGGTTAGGAAGCTCTTAGACAATTGCTGAAAGGTGAGATGGATTTTCTATTTGTTGTAGACCTTATTTTTCTCTTAAGATATTTATTGTGATGTAAAGCTATGCATTAAATCGCAAATTGTTTCTAAGATACTGAATCATCTACTGGGCTTAAATCTGGGAAATGATGGGGAGAGAGCGTGTAGGATCAATATGAGCCCCTACTTAAGTTCTGCAAAATTTATGTACAGCAGGGGTAATGTTTTTCTGGTGTGAAGAGTGTGCTGAACATGCAGTGGCTCCAAATGACTGTGGATAGCTTTTTCATCTTGCATTCAGTTCTAGTTTAATCCATTTGAAATAGCATTGGATAGTGATAGCCTTCAGAGCACCAGCAGTCTCTGACAGCCAGCAACAACAGATCTCAGGAAGTAGCATAAGATCAGAAAAATAATCTAGCAGTATTTCTCCAGAATACATTCCCAGCCTTCAGCAATCTGTGATTTAAGGATTTTCTGAAGGAGAATGGGAGTCTCTGTATTAAACAGCCTTGATGGACTTTTTCTTTCATGAATTTATGTGGTTGTTTTTTTGAACCCATGTAAACCTTTACCATCCATAGCTTCTTCCCAGAAGGAGCTGCACAATTTCACACTGTGTGTAAGAAAACGTATACTTCTGTTTTGAATCTTCCATCTGCCTTGATATCTCATAGGCATTCTAGACTGCAGGGTTTTCCTCTTTCATGTATGTCAGTGTAGTATGGGCATTGCTGTCCAAGAATTGTAGAATCTCCATAATGGGAGATTTCTTCCCAAGAGGTTGCCTGAAGAGGACAAATCCCACCCTAAAAGGCAATTTTAGAAGTTCTTAATTTTATTGATTTTATTGAAACATTCTAATATGATGAGAAGTGTTAAAAGATTACATCTAAAACTGATAGGTGAGGGTACCAGTTGTGGGCTGATCTGTGGTTTCCTTGGGAGTGATGTAACAGAAATGCAACAGTGATTCAAGCTCTGAATCTGAACACATTTTCTAGAAGTTAATTCCAGCACAGTTTGAAACTCAGTCTTCTGCCAGCTTGCAGCCACAGCACATAAACAACTGAATACCCCCACTTTACTGAGCAGAATTCCAAATCTGGAAATACATCAATGCCTTTTTCCAGGCCAGATCATCTACACAATGGTAGTCTCTTTTCACCAGAAAATAAACCCGAAGACCATGGTTTCGTATTTAATGCATACAATCAATTGAAAAGAGGCATGTATATAACTGAGCTGAGCTCCAGCAAAATCAGTGGAAGTCTTTTCCTTCCACTGAGTTGGATTGTATTCTAAATGAGGTACCTTATTAAGAAAAGATGTGACTAAATGCATAAGCAATAAGAGCAGCTTCTATTCTACATGTTTTTTTATGACTGAGTACTTTAATATAAAATCTAATATTCATTCTCCAAACAGACTTTATTGGCAAGCTGACTTGCTGTTGTTATGTACAAATGATGAGAAAATTGAGTTGTTCAATGGCAAACAGAGGAATTATTTGGACAACTGACTGAAATGAATGCACTAAATTTTGGCAAACAAGAAATAAATGTACTCGTTAGATCTACATTTTAGATGAAGTGATATAAAACACGCTGGATTTCTGGGTAAAAAAGTATGTTAAACTGTTTATTCAAGTCATATTAATTGTGAATTTCTATACAGTGTTGCCAGCTAGTAGACGCTGGTTTGGTTGTAAATGCACTGGCCAGTTTGTACAGCAGATGACTGAAATTAGATTAATGAAATCTAAATAAAATATTCCAGACAATATTGATGCCACAGCACAAAATAATGGACTCTTAGTTAAGGGATTCATTTTACCACCTTGAACCAAACTAAAACAGTTTTTAGCATGGCCTGGAATAGAGCATAACTTTTGCAAGAACAATGATTGAGCACACAAATGTCTTCCAGTTGTTTGAAGGTCTGAAGTTTTCACTACGTCATTTCTGTTTTCTCTCATAGTAGTTGTAGATTTTAGAAACAAACCACCGTATTTGAAATGACAGTGTTTTTACTGCAAAATGTCTCTATTTTTGAGGATAGCACTATTCAGATTGTCCTCCAATTACCCCCATTAAAGGAACATGAGAAGTGCCTCCAGACATTATTTCAAGGGGTATTACTTGCATCTGATTGCTAGTGTTTTAAAGACACCGAGGCCCAGATACACGAAGGAGTGCTGTGGGACTCAGAGATACATACATATATAAGATATATATATATTATGATATAATCCAGGAAGTTTCCTACTTCTTGGATCTATAACTCTCTAGAGTAAATTGCTTTGTAAGATTTGAGTAGACAGTCCCTGACAATGCACTTACTAATTCAGAAAGTCCATGTTTTGCTTGTAATGATCTCAGCTGGGTTTTGAGTTCTCTGTAAAGCTCCATAAAAAGAAAGCCCCATAAAGTGAAACCTCATTCCTTTCTTGCTGCTTAACATGTCACTTTATTATCATATAGACAAACATAATGTCCTCTTCTGGGCACTGGCTACATTAACTCAGTGGCTGTGTCATAAAAAGCTGGTACTGAACATGATTTTACCTTGTATTTGTTTCTCTGTGTAACTGCCATGCCATGTTGAATTATTGCTTTCCTTTTATGAGGGGCTGCACCTTCACAGCCATTAAACAACTGTATTTCATTAGTTACTCATTACTCAGTTATTAATATTAGCAATGCTATGGCAGCACTTCAACCCAGATTGAGTTGGAGTTTCCATTAGAGCCCCTACCTTGTAGAGGGCATGGAAGTGTGCTTCTTGCTGATACTTATTATTTATTATATTCTAAAATATATACCTACCTCCCATGTCATACTTATCAGGGAGGAACAGTGCAGTGCATTGCTCATGGGTGCACACAGATCTAACGAGAACATGCTGACATTGCTGATAGAAACAAAGAGAAGCATAAGTTAATCAGAAAGGAAACAAAAAGTTTGAATTCAATATGATATTAGAAGCTCAAAAAGAGACAACCCTTGTGTGCCAAGTCCTGTAGAAGTATGGGAAAAAAATGTAAAAGGGATAGCGCAAGCTCGCCTGTCAACAGGGAGTCCACAGTGCACACAGATGTCTTACAATAGCATGGCTGACTCTTCAACTCTGGCTTCTTTGGGATTGTCTTTATATGTTTATGTGGTGTGTACTAAGGGTCAATGCTTAATTCACTAATCTTTAGAGGTACTAATATAACTCTTGTCATTTTACTATCAGTTGCTAACATCTGTGTGGGGTGTTTTCCTGCCATCACAGTGGAAAAAAATAATTACAGCAGAACAAGCACTCTGCAACTGTAACTAACAAATTCCGTATGCAAAGTAAATCACTATGTGCTCTGGGCCCACAACCATAGAAGACAATTACTGCCCAAATCCTTTTTGGAGCCATAAGAGGTAGACAGAATTAGGGACCAGAGCATTGGTTTAAGCTATTCTTTCCTTATTTTATAAATCAAAGTGAAACTGAATTTTAAGACATTTATTGCCCTGTCAAAAGGGCAAGAGTGTAATAAGTCCTTCTCTTGTCAGTACTGTGAGATGTGGGAAAAGGTAAAGTCTATGTCATGTAAAAAAGGATTTAAAATAGTATACGATATATGAGCTTTTAGCTTAGCACATTTCCTTGTCTGATTTTCTAGCCTGAACAGAGGAACCACAAAGACCTTTACTCACTCACCTGTGGAAGATGGAGGAGAAGCAGCAAAGATAAGTATTGTGAAAGAAGATAGGGGGAAAAAGAAAAAGAAGAGGAGAGAAGTAGACAAAACACATCCCAGAGGGAGGATATTGGACTCTGATAATCTTTTGTTTGTCTCCAGAAGGGAAGTAAAACAGAAAAAAAGACATTCACTGCCTAGAAATGAAGAAGAATTTGAAGGTAAAGAAGTAGCTCTGGAAAATAATAAATATTAGGGATTAAACAGATCTGATGGGCCTTTAGTGGGCCCCCACACAAGGAACCGGGTTTCTGCATTTCTGGGTGTTAGACCAGCCTGCTTTCCCATGTCCTATGTGCTGAGGTTCTTTCAGCTCCTTTGGAAACTGTTCTTCACATTCATCACACTGATCATTTTCTGCATGAGTTTCCACAGCAAAGTGAAGAACTGAGTGAAGCATATTCTGGCATATGCTACCTTAATTTCCATAACATTTGTACTAGCAGTGAAGATGCAAAAACCACCAACCTTAGTACCTGCTAGTAAGCAGAGTATATATTCCAGTCCCTCTACTGTTTGTTACTGTTATATTAAAGATGTATCTATATTGCAGGCATTAAATGATTACATATGGAACTCCATGCTTCAGAGGATAAATTGCTTTTAGTGTCTGAGCTAGTGCAGTTAAAGCTAACATCAGTATCTATAGTCCCTGTCACACTGCAGCAGAGACCTGGGCTAGTGTAGGTATTCTGTTACATGCCACTGTCAGCTCTTCATTTTAAACATCCTACTGTCAGTGGAAAGATAAGAGGATTTTTATCCATATCTGCGAGTTGTACCTCCTTGTACTATTTTAAACATATTCTCAACATCCTCATTTACTTCCAGAAGTAGTGGATTATAGATTCACTCAATCATCATGTTGTCAATCATGTTGAATTGATTTACAACAAAAATGATGATTTTTGTCATCATGTTGTAAATCATCTTTATCAGAGAGCTGATGAGGATGTTAAATAAGACTATATGGCCATCCTCACAGGGTTTCATCAGGTGTCTCTTTATCCCATCTCTGTACTTGATTGTGTATTTATGCTCTTTGGGTGTAGATATTTGTCCCATTTTCAAACTATTCTAATGATTTAATAGCATTTTGTGTATATGATTTTGTAAATTGCATCAATTGTGTTACTTGACCCCTGACATAAACATCTATTTTAATTGTGTTAATACTGGATTTCATTTTAAAGAATGAAGAGAATAAAGAAAACAAATTTTACCAGCATTGTTGTTTCCTTCTGCCCAAGCTTCAGGTCTAGTACAAACTATTAGTTTATGCTTACTGCTTGACAGTCCAATATGTGCTGAGCACCAGATCTGTGAGATTCACCTACACAGGTTAGCATTTACTCACAGAAATAGTCATATTTAATTATATTGATATAAGTAAGTACTGAATAACATGGATGAGGTGTTGGAAAGCTCTACTGTCCTAATGAATTCCTCAGTTACTCTCTGTGGGCTGGATATTGAAAATACCAGGTATCTAGCAATGCACTTTCCTTCATGGAGTTTACAAAAGCTCAAATAAGGCTGGATATTCATGTCAGGAACCTAAATTAAAGTACTTATGAGCTGAAAAAACACTGTTTTCCTCTACAGACACCTACATAACACTGCAGTCTCAGTTGTTGGCCTTCATAGGCTGGACACACCAATGTTCATCAGAGTGATCCCTTACTTGATTTTCCTAGTAGGTGTTTTCAATACTTTCTTATTTCTTGATTGTTTATAACAAAGGCAGATTTTTTAAAAATAGAGTCAGCATCTCAGAGAAATGTTTTGAATACCTGTGAATACCATTAATAGTTAAAGCTAATAGCTTTGGTAGCTAAATACCTTTTACAGTAACTCAGTTATACTTATTTTTTTCAAGTTTTCTAAAAGCTGTCTGTTAAACTGGGAACTGGTTTATCTGAAAGATGCATAATCCTCCCACATATCCCTCTTTTCCTTGTAATATCAAATACCTGAATAATCTGGATATCTTTTAACTTTCAAAAAAGCTCAATAGTCCTGATCTGTTTGCCTTTTCTTCATGTTTAGAGACAATAGTTTTCCCTATGTGTGTAAGTGTGCAATGTGTTAAAAGCATTTAATGCCATTAGCAGTTCCTACATTTCCTTTCCAAAAGTTTGTCATGTCACTTCTTATGAACTGTTCAGATACATATATGTATTTTAAGAATCTGATTGGGCTGTGTTTTGTAACTGCTCCATGTGTTAATCGGCACTTCTTCCTACAGTTCTGCTGATTTCATGTGTACATTCATCTGTTACATGAGGAAGTAAGTTCTCCTGAACTTGAATGAGCATTGCCCAATATAAAGATGAATATTTGTGCTCTCCAAGATAATGTGGATTCAGCTACATGGCTCTTTTATAGGTGGTTGATGAAGCCTCGTGTTTTCATGAAGCTTTATATTTCCAGAGAGCTGTGTGCCCAGTATGAATTATTGGAGCATTTTGGAATGTTTGTTGTTTGGTTTGTGCTCAGCTAAAATATTCCTGATTGTTAGGAGGAATCAAAACCCCATTCCTTGTTGATTCCAAAATGGAGATCAGAAAATTATTTAGAGTGAAGTACATATATGATACACTGTAACAGACTGCATTGCCTGATGCATTAGCAAATCATAGCTAACAGAGCCCAAATCTCCATTTAAGTTATAATGAGATATGACTTGAAGCAATTACACTGATAATTACTGTAACTGCCAATATGGGGTAGGTAGGAGACCTTTGAAAATGATCATTTTCTAGCCTTTTCTGTGGCAAATCTGGTTCCTCTGAATTGCGTTCAAGAGCATAAAAGCTGTGGCACCTGGCAGTCTGGTGGATTGGCTGGATTTCCCACAGTAGGATTTCACATTTGTAGCACCCACTTGTTTTCCAATCTCATTTTCCAGCTACTTCATTCAGCATTTGGAGAAGGCTACCATAATAAAGCAGTGTTCCCATCTGTTGGTCATGACTTGTTTAGTAAGTGGTTGTCGATTCAGCAATGCTTGCATCTGTTACTTACTGCAGCTGGGTGTTGTGAAGGGCTCCCCAACAGCCTCCAGATTTAGCTTTTGGTTTAATGTTGATAGCATGTTACAGCTTGCCCAAAATGCCTCGCTCTTCTGTCAGGGTTCTTTGCTCATTGAAAGAGGAAAGTTTTAAAATTTGTTAAATTTGCCACCTCTTTCCCCAGAAAGAATGAAATATGGAGATGTGCAAAGGAAGAAAGCACAGTTCCATTAGCATAGGAGGCATGTGTTGGGCTGTCTGAGAGGGGAGAGGAAGGGCTTCCAGATTCTGGAAGCAAGACCAGAGTAGTTTCTTTCAACGTGTTGGCAAGGTACACGGAGAGCACGTGTACTGGGTAATGCAGATAAACAGTTTGTGAACTGTGTGTGATGGGGAACACTCATTTAACAGTGCACCTTTCAGTTATTTCAGTCCGGCAATGTTTTTGTACTGCAGACAGGTACCGTCAGGATACAGTCCAGATATAGCATAGCCAACAAATTTCCTGAACTTCACACAGGTCAACTCCAGATTCCTGTCTCTGAGATTGCCCAAGAAGAATCCAAATGTTCCCTTTGTGTATCTCAGTGCTGATGTTGTGCATATATAAGACAATTTCCAAAGGCATGCTTTCGATTTTTAAACCTTTGGCTTCAGGGTTTTCATTGGTAGCTATGGATGATCAGCATTCCTAAAACTGATCATGCTCATGTCTCATACTCTCTGTGTACTCAATATGTGCTGATATACCCTGTGTATCATAACTTTAGTCTTCAGATGCCTCCCACAGTTTTGTTTTCTGCTACGTGACTTTTTATTATATGAACAATTAAAACACCAAAATCACCCCCTAAAGAAATACACAAAGCGAAATAGAGCATGTGATTTTGTTTCCTTTGTTTCTTCCTATGTTATTATCTCATTTTTAACTCCTGCTTCTGGTCTTTTGCCATTCATTCATTATGATTGCCATCCTTTTGTGCCAGGAGGGTGCCTAGTAGTTGGTGGTCTCATTTGCTGTCATTGTAAAAAGTGACTTTTCAGTGACACAGTATTGTTAATAGCAAACCAGAGAAGATAGATGTCATTGTACTGAGTCAGACAAATGTTCATGCAGCCCAGATCCTGTCCTCAGCTGTGCCTAGAAGATTATTACTGATGAAGAGCAAGAACATAGGGTGGCATGTGAATAACAGTAACTACAAGCTTAGAAAATGAAAGCAAAAAGGAAAGCAGTGAAAAGCTTCTTTACACAGGACTATTGCTCTTTACACAGAGTCATTTGTTCAATGATAAATTCCTGGGGTTGTGTTGGGGGGGTGTTGAGCTGTTCTATCCAAGCTCATGGCTCAATATTTTTCTCTAACTACAGAGTACCTGTTCTCTCCTAGCATCTTCATTCTCCACTTCACCATCCAGGCGCTCATCAACATGTCAAACTCTTCAGTTGCCGAGTGCTTCAACTCCAAGCTCACCAAAGCATCTTTGTCGCTTGCACAGTCCTGCTGGAGAAAAGTCTTGAGTCTGGTAAAAGCCACATCACCAGAATTACTAGAGTCAACACAGAGAAGCTAGGATTGACAATACAGCCTCAGCACCACTGCGCAGAGCAAAGGAAGCCACATTAAGGATGCATGATGGAGGACCTTGTGAGGAGTGAACGAGGCTGCAGATTAATATTTTCAGCACCTGCAACTGTGAAATTTTATTCCAAGACTCAGAAATAAATGCTAAATTATTGATGTTTTTGCAGACTTACTTTGGAGGTATGAAATAGAAACAGCATCGGAGGTTCAGCTGTGTTGCTGAAAAGTATTAATATGAGAAGAGAGAATGGAAAATCATATTTGTCTGAGTATCCTTTGTTTGTAGTAGGCCTGTTTGATTTATTAGCTGCGAATCTTTCTTACAAATGCCTTTTCCAGAAGTCCTTTTTCACAGACACAATCTGTAAGGCATCTGGGAAGACCTGCTGCAGGGAGCCTGCCCAGTTTTCCACTGGTGCTGATTTTACATGTATCTGCCCTAGAGCTTTTCCACTGATGGAGGCCGTCCCATGAGAACACCGTTGAGGTGCTTTGCCCTCAAAGACTAACCTCTTGGTAACACAGGCTTAGACCAAGGGCTGAATTCTTCTCTGTGATGTTTGATATAAAGCCAGTTCTACTCTGAAGGCAGTCCTCTTGCTTCGGTGTTACAGCATTATAAATGAAAGCAGGAATTGTACCTAGGCACGTTTAGAAGTGTCTCTACTTTTAGCTCTCAAATAATGGATAGGTGACTGAACTCAGTAAAAAAAAAAATCCACATCAAGGTTAATTTTCTCTATCTAACAAATGCAATGTCATCTCCATTGTCCAAGATGTGACATTTGAAATGGCACACAGTAGGGGGGATGTAGTATGTTTGGCACCGAAGATCCTCATCTCAACAAAAGTATGACTTGTGGATGTAGTGACACAATTGTATGGTTGTCTAGGGCTTTCTGTTAAGAAGGTGAAGACTGATTCTTAATATTTTTTGGCATATCAAGGTGAACGGACGTTAAATATTCTCACAAGCTTGACTTTAGACACCTACACAATTTCCAGGCAGATGTATGTATTCATCTTTACATCTGAAGTAGAGTTGAAAAGATATGCTTAACCAAGTAGAAACAGAAGGCCGTCAACTAATGTATACACATGTAGATACTGTAAGCCAGTGGTACATTTATATTTGGTGAATTCCAGCTTTTTATGGAAGCCAGTTTAATCACAGACCTTTTTTTGTGTTCCAGATACATGCCATAAGATGTGAGATTATTGAAATTTATGCCTACCCTGATTCAGGGAAGACTCAACCTGGGAAAAATTATAATTCTGAAGTGGTCTATCCTGGAATTTGCAGTTTGGATAGTTCATGTTACTTTTTGTTCTGCAGCTCAGGCTCCTCACTTACTCCATGATGTCCTGAAGTTTTCTTTTGGAGAATGGAGCTGGCACACACACGGAGTCCCTAGTTATAGGGAGTCACTGGGTATCTGTTCTACCCAGAGGAAAAAAATTGAAGTGATATCACTATACCACAGCATCCATGAAATTTTAGTCCAGGATAGCAAGGAAGAAATATTTCTACTGTGGTCATGAGCACTCATTTTCTGGAGGAAATGGCACAACCAATGAAGAGAAAAGCCCTATAAATTTTGGTAGAAAAGATATCTCAATGAAAAGTTTGCTGAACAGAAAATCTCCTTTCCCGTTAAGAACAGCTTTCAATCGCTTGGACTTTGGAATTTACCAGCTCACATTTTTAGGAGAAGGAGATGCATCTCAGTCAGACCAATGCAGCATTGACATAATAATCTCACTTACATCTCTTCTGATTGCTGTGCATTTGAAGCTGAACATGTGCAATAACGTGAACTAAACGGAGTGTTGGCCAACTTTGCATGTACATACTATTAAGTATGTGCTGAGGGATTGTATGCTGCCCCACAGTGAATGAAGACTGGGATACCCTTGAAAAATGGCTGAAGAAAACTCACCTTAGTATTCCGCTGGGTGCAATACAGATTTGTGAGAAATATAAACAGGAATGGTAAGCAAGTGCAGGGTCAAAACTGGCAGCACAGGTCGTCTGAGTGGCAAATTCCTCTTCTCCATACAGGGTGATCATCAATCACTGTTGGTCCTTTAGACAAGCTACATTTAAAGAATGATTTATTATAGAGATGTGGATGGTGATGAATGAGTTCCCTTTTCACATGTTATTAAGGATCCCTTTCACTGTTCCTTTCTGGGTGTGCAGTCTGACCTCAAGAAACATCTGTCATGGGATAACATTTATTAATTTTCCCTACTGAGGCCCACAAGACTTTTCTCCTGCCTGAGTGTGTTCAACATTTTGTTGCATTGCTTTGCATTAAGCCTGGGAATTGTCAGGATGATTTATTCTTTTCATTCGAATGTTCCTGTTGGTCCGTTTGTACAACATGAGCTCTGTCCCGAGTTCCACCCTGTGCCGCAGATGTACAGGAGGTTATGTTTTCACATCCTTGCTTCTTTCCACTGGTCTGCTTTAAAGAGGCAACTATTATTATGGTGATCTGTCAACATGATGAATTTTCCAATTAGATTTGCCAGATGGGTGAGTTTGACCACAACGGCCCAATTTCAGGTTCGGTCACTGAATTTACTTACTAGCGTAAGTAGATCACTGTAAATAAAGCATAACCAGGTCCCTGTAAATCCAGGTTGCAGGTTCCTTGCAATCTCATACAAAGTTGGCAGTGGTGGGCTTTGGGACTGGCCAGGCTATGCTCAGACTTCTTCTTTGTTATTCTTATCCAACCACTGAGATGGTAGTTGCCCTATTCATTTCTCCCCAAATATCTGTTGTTTTTTTGATAAAGACAGATGGCCTACAAAACCAAACCAAAAACCCAAACAAACAAAAAAACCCCACACATACACACACACAAAACAAAAAAAATCATATTCACCCCCACCTGTATTTGTCATCCTGGATCAAACTCTGGACCCCAGGATTAGGGACTTGGTCCCTGGCATTCAGCACTACTTGCATTCATTGGTGCTGCACAAGAAGGTAAAAAGATACTTTATTCCTTTTAGCAAAAGAAAGACGTAGGAAGAGAACACCTGCCAGCTAGGTGTCATATTGGTAGTGTGACCATGAAACTCCTGAGGTCCAAGAAAAGCAAGGATAAAAGGGAAAAATGAATGTAAAGGCTTTTATGAGACCAGCTGATAGAACTGGAAGGAGTAGAAAAGCTTTTGAGACTGAATTTCCTTACAAAGTCATGAGTAACATCCTACTCAGTTGTGGAACCATGAAATCAGATCAGTGTCCTATCTTCCATGTAAAAGGGCAGCTTCATGGAAAAAATGTGTACAGGAAACTTTGACTCAACCTGTACAGGTGTGCAAAGGACCTTTTCCACCATGGCTATTTCCTTATGGGTGGACTTGATGGTCTTAAAGGTATTTTCCAACCTAAATGATTCTGTGATTCCTTTCTTACCTGGTGAGAGCACTGCTAGCTTGACTGCTGCATAAATACAACTGAGCTCCAAAAGGCACAGTCTTTCGATTAACACTGTGAGAGACCATACAGCTGCTCTTAACCACACATTCACACTGCTCCAAGTGCATCTGGGGCCACCTGTAACCACCTCCTGTTGATAAATAGAGAGTATTAGCATCAAACCTGGGTTTCCTCCCCCAGCTGTGAGATGCTTCTCCTGGGACGAGGGGGCACTTGGCAGAAAAGGGTGCCGGCTTATGCTGACTGCTTTTCAAAACTGCATGTTTAGCAATGCTGGTCCTCCCCACACTGGACCTGGAGCCAGGCCAACAGCACTCAGCAAGGGCTGTCCCAAACCAAGTCATGAGATGAGGTTTGCTGATGAAGCCATGCCGCTTCTGGAGAGATGCACCTCAAACCAGCTCAGGAGTACCCAGGTTCCTGTTTAATAGAAAACATGCTGAAGGGCAAAAATGTGTGAGGGCTGATTTCAGCACATTGTAAGCTCAGTCTTCTAATTACAGGATTGTAAGAAAAGGTTAGCAGCAAACAAATACAAACACACCTGTGGCCTAAACTGAATACCAGCTCTTTTTCCCCAGTTTTTCCACTCCAACCAGCTCTTGAGGTTGGGGCCTCAGCACTGACAGCTGAAAGTTCCCTGCCAGTGAAAGTGGCCCCACATCTCGGTCCTTAGCAGGTTAAGAAGGGGTAATCATCCACCTTCAGTGACATTCAGGGCTCCAGACAGTTTCCTCCACAGGTAAATGGGAGCTGAGCATTGCAGCATCTGTGCAGCTGCCTCTCCGTTTTCCATATGCTCTTTAGCTGCTTGAGTGTTTCGTGGAAAGGATGCAGCGAAATTCAGGACACAGCTACATGCACTGGTCTTGAGCCCAGTCTTGTGGTTGTAAGCTGACTTTTCTCTATGTCGGACAGTGACGAGGAGACTGGAGATCCAAAAGCATACCTCATCTTTGTTTTATGTTGTGTCTCCAGCAGAAAGGAAAGAAGGTCAAAGTGGGATGGAGATTTAGGACAGGAGATGCCACAGTTTTCAGGAAAGCTTCTGAGACGGGGATATTTTGCAACTTTTCCTAAGACTGCTCATAGCTTTTTCCTCAGGAAATAGCCTTTCATCTGGAGAGAAATGGTTACAGACAGGTATAAAAGGTCTTCCAGGCAACCATTGTATGGCTCACTATATAAAGAAATATGGCGATGCATTGCTGGGCCTCAATTGACAAGGTGGTCTTTTTTTTTTTTAATTCCTAAATCTTACCTTTGATCTCATTGATACATTTATTTCCCAGCTGAGCTCTAAAACTCAAGGCTGATGTGGACAGTCTGGCAGATCTTCCCTGGTTTTGCTGTAAAGATACAGACCAGACTTATTCAAACCTGCTCCAAGCTTTGTTCCCAGGAGCTGCTTCACATATAGGTAACATTTTTTTGCCTCTCTCCCTTATCTTTATAATGTTTCCAGGCAGATTTCTT